GGGGGGGTCGGTCTTGAAGCCAAAAATAAACCTGGATCCGCCACTGTCTAGTCTGGTATATTGTATATTGAGTATATCTAGATAAATACTTAGTTAAATAAGGTCTTGCTGATAAAACCCAGAGCTGTTATGCAAGACTAGCCTCTGGTCATAGCTGTTATGGTCAGCCGGGGTGTTTTCTGCGTGTCAACATATTTACCAACGATAGGCAGGTGTTGTTTTATGAACAATGGCAAGTCAATTATATATTTTTCATAAAACCTGCATTTCACCTGTGAATACCCGATAATTACCTGTGTTCGATACAACACAATTTCTCAGATACTTTTCCAATATTAGGTCCAAATCAACCATTGATAGCTCATTTTTATCGTTTTCAGTTGTAGCATCTTTTTTCTAAAAGTAAGCACTGAAAAGTGTTTCCTTATATTTTATTCAACTTTTTGTACTCATTTTAAAAATCTTTAAAAACTTAAACTTGAAAAAAAAGAGGTGACATACAGGTCCAATAAACTCTGGCAACTGAACTATATAGCTGTATAGAAATACAAAAAAAATGTACAATATTTATATCAACCTATTCAGAATAGGTCTTTTGAGATTTAAAAAAAATATATATATCGTGCTATGCTGATAGAAAGTGCGCAGGTCTTTACACAAATCACTGTATTGGAGCGTACGCCTTGGATTGCTCAGTTGATTTCGACATTCCGAAAATTCAAATGGGTATGAGTAAATCAGGAAACATATCCACATTTATATACACCAATGACACTTGACATCTCCCCAACACGACATACTCAACAATAATTATCGTATTGTTCTCTCACTTATAATTATCAGTGCCATACAATCTCCTGTAAAAACATAAACCGACAAGACAAGACAAGACAAGATTTTATTCTTTTAAACCACAATATACATGACATGATATTAAGAAAATATACAATGGGTACATTCAAGATAGAGTACGTGCTGTTTTAACCAGGAGAACGGACTCTCTTTATTACTATATTAATATATTTGCATATTTTAACTAGTAAAACTTTGTTATTTGTTGAAAAAAGTTGAAACAGTCCTAGGCTGTGATTTTTAATGTGGAGCTTATTTACGCATGACCGCACACTGAAACCTATTTTCGGTTAGAATGTGTCGGCAGCTTTTATTAATGTGTTACATGTATTCAAATTGTTTACGGGCCCCAAGCGAGAACTGATTGTTGTTAATCAACATTGATGAAGTTTGTTTCTTTATTTGTACAAAGTGTTTTTTTACAGTCAAACACATTATAATGCCATAAGTTTAATCCACGGACTTAGATAACAAATTCCGTGTTTAATCGAAGTAATTATGACCGAGCGCAGTAGATATGGCCCGACTCTAAGAAACAAGGCACATGTCGAGGAAATGTAAACACAGCGGATTTACCCTACACAACACATGTATACATGTATATATATTTGTAAACTGCATTACATTTACAATACATATAAAGTACTGAGAAGTGTATACACCTCTTTTTTCTATGTATGTCACTTGTGTGAAATCCATGGTTACCACATCAAAAATTACCAAAAAATGACAAAAATTGCTATTTTTGACCCAAAATTTGACCCCCGCAACTAGTATTTTTTTCCCTAAGTTCTGTCTGAAATTAAAGATTACCTACCTGGTTGCAGAATTATCTGGGTCCCAGTAAAGTTGTAAAACTTGGGTTTTTGCAATTTTGCGTCGTGTGCTGTTGTCAAAATTTTACCTCCTGTAAAGCTAGCTTTTCATGTGTAGGCACTCTTTCGGATTATGGCCAAAATTTTATTCTCGAACCAAAAAAAATCTTCTTTTTTTTTTTACAACTGTGAAGCTCACATCACATAGCCCACTTCATCATGCTTATACCAATTTTAATACAGTTTTATTTTTATAACTTTTTTTACATATCATTATACAGGGGTTAGCCATTTAACAAAAATATCACCCATGGTCACAACCCTCTACTGTATACCGTAGCACTGCGTCTAATGTGTATTATTATCAAATAATTAAAGATATATGATAGACTTGTGATAGACTGAATCTTTAGAAACTTCGAGGTAAGGTAGGCGATATTTTTATGTAGGAAATACGTTGTTGGGACCGATGTTTCACTTCGGGATATCCGAGTTTTTCGAGCTTTCAGAGTTCGAATTATCAGAGTATTTATTACAAAGATTAAGAAGAGTTTTGGCCGGGACCGATGAAATCCTTCGAGTTAAACGGGCCTTCGAGTTATACGAGGTTCAACTGTATTGAATATTGTTACTCTATCACTAACCCGTATTTGTGAGGTACAATTATATGCTTCATAATTATTATTTTTTAACAAATAACTTAGATAAAAATTAATGTGTTGTTAAGTTATAATTAATTATGTCCGTGGTATAACCGTTCAATATATTATTCTAGGAACGTTTAATTAACAATTAACAACGTATTTATGCGTATGTGTTTTAAGGATATACAAACTGGTTCACTTCCGATAATAAAATAATTGAAATAATAAGTAAAGTTTAACTTAGGATATATATAAGTTTATAAACACTAAATGAAACTTTGTCAGTTTTTAAAGGGTTTTGTATATTTTAATGAACTACAGTATGTAAACGAGTATTCCAGTAATATAGTCCTATATTGTGAAAAAGAATGTATAAACATACAGAGGAGTTCAAATTCGTAACAGTTATTCTCACAATTATAATTATAACTAGATTTGATCAAGATCAAAACACGGGATTTCCATCAAGAAAATTATCAAAGATATGTTCTCGGACTGACGATCGCTTTCAAAATATTTTCCTTCGCTTCCCTTCTCCGACAAACCTTGTACCTTATTCATACCATTGAGTCAAGTTATTTCGAAATGGTCAGCATTGATAGATAGTTGTTCAGTGTTTCTATCTTCCTCCCCCTTCCCATCCCTTTGTTGGGGTGTTATTTACTTGAGGTAGTTGTGAATGTCAGGACCCAGCCACACCAAACCGTAGTACACACAATCTGGTCTGGTGAATGTAGGCTCTGTTATTTGGACACACCATACCAAACCCTAGTACACATGATAATGGTCCCACAGGCAAGGGTGATTGGCAGATGTAATGATGCACAGTGACTCTGTGTTTTGTAGCCTGACTGGTCACCGAATAAAAAGCCTGACTAGCTTCACCAATTTATAAAGTATGAACAGAACACTTCAATATAATATATTGAAACTGAAGTTTTTAAAATATATCAGTGATATGTTATGAATTATCATAAAGAATGTCTGCGTAATGTACGCGTATTGCGTAAAAGTAGAAAACAAACAATTTAAACATACGGTGAGTGAATTGTTCCTGGACATATTAAAGCTGACTATTACGTCTAGTAGATCTGTGATACAGAGTTGGATTTTTTCTGTAAGAGTTATTGTCCATTATACATTTTCCATCCTTGACATGCATCATGATGCAGTGACATTTGAACTTTATAAATCATCTCTTAATTGAGATACATTTGTAATAATAATGTGATGAAAAAAACCGTTTGTAAAAATTAAATCTTCAAATTTTGATCGTTTGACACATGAGACCTTGAATGTTGGTCAAGGTCAATAATTTGCGTTATTTTAAAAGCTAAGGATACATGTATGTACGTCGTCCGGCGTCAATATCCTACTTTAAACAACTTCTTCTTACAAACCAAGAGGCATAGAGGCATAGGGTGATTATATTTAGCCAGAGGCAAACTGAAATGAAGGGCTACAAAGCTTTTTCAAATAGATGACCTTCACCTATATTTAAGGTCATAGGGGTCAAATATGTTTAAAACCTTTATCAACTTCTTCTGAATAACCAAAAGGCCTAGGATGATACTATTTGGCCAGTAACATGCTGGGATGAAGGGGTACCAAGTTTGTCCAAACGAATGACCTTGACAAATATTAAAGGTCACAGGGGTCAAATATGTTTGAAATCTTTAAACAACTTCTACTGAATAACCAAGAGGCCTAGGATAATGATATTTGACCAATAACATGCTGGGATGAAGGGATACCAAATTTGTTTAAATGAATGACCTTCATCCATTTTCAAGGTAACAGGGGTCAATTGTCTTAGCATATTTAAACAACTTCTTCTGAATAACTAAGAGGCCTAGGATAATGCATCCTCGATTTCCAGGGGTTACGATCACCTACGTTCTCGTAGGTGATCGTAACCCCTGGAAATCGAGGAAGAGGATAATGATATTTTGCCAGTAATTTGCTGTGATGAAGGGCTACCTAGTTTGTTCAAACGAATGACCTTGACATATATTCAAGGTCACAGGGATCAAATATGTTTGAAATCTTTAAACAGCCTCTCATGAATAACCAAGAGGCCTAGGATAATGATATTTGGCCAGTAGCATGATGGGATGAAGGGATATCAAGTTTGTTTAAATGAATGACCTTCACTGATAATCAATGCCACAGGGATCAAATTTGTTAAAAACCTTTTAACGACTTCTGAATAACCATGAGGCCCAGAATGTTGATATTTGGTTAGTCGTATGCTTGGATAAAGGGCTATGAAGCTTTTTTTTATTTGAATGATCTTGAGCCACTTACAAGGTCACATCAAGTAAAATATGTACAAACATTTAAATGACCTAAGTTCAATAAAAAAAAGCCTAGGGTGGTGATATTATGCATTTTGCATGCTGAGATGAAGGGCTATGAAGTTTGTTCAACGTTATGACCTTGTTCGACCTTCAAGGTGGCAGGGGTCAAATGATTAAAAATCTTTTTACATGTCCTTTTTAATGACTTATGGTCATAAATACGAATATTTTGCCTGTAACTATATTTTATATCGCTTTTAAGGTTACAAGTGTGAGATTAATACCAGGTGAGCGATGCAGGCCCATGAGGCCTCTTGTTAATTCTTTACACAAACTGTGCTTGATTTTAAGATAACGATGTAAAGGATTATATATGCTAAGAAGGACAATCTGAAATTAAAACATTCGTAATTATATCTACATCTTTTATCTTTAACAAACCTACATTATATAAAAACTTGGTAAATCTATCATTTGATCACTTCAGATTATCCCTGTGACATGATGAAGTCCAGAAGCTGTCTGGTAGTGTCACTTTTGCTTACCCTGTGTGACGTCATTGGTTTGGAAGCAGTCCCACCAGCAGACGACGATGACCCTGGGTTTGAAGACATATTTAAGACCAACACGAAGTCCTACGAGAATTTCCATGTACAGTTTAACCAACCTTTACCAAAATGGCTTCGTGGAATATTGGTAAGCAACGTTCAGTAAAACTCAATTTTGATTACAGAAATGTATTGCTCTTCAAAATTCCAGTCGACTATAATGTCAATGGAAAGAGCAGTGGTCATAGATGTGCTGCTGACGCGGATGTTATTTTACGTTTGGCCTGTGTTCTAAAGGTGCTTCCATAAAGTAGAGGTAATATATAGACAGGGTATCATCATCAGCGATGGTAGGAAGCAAACACTCGCCACCTTTCGTCCTACGCCATCGGCTACACTAGTATAGTCTTGTCCTGACACCAGCTAACATATTTTGACAGATATACAATGTATGTCTGGTGTAGGGCGAGAGTGCACTACTATGTGAAAACGTGGAATTCTCCGTCACCGTGTGGTGTCGGAAAAATTTGAAATGCTGAGAAGTTTAACAAAAATTTAAAAAAAAAGTCTGCCACGACACAACACATACCTCACATATATCGATAAATGGGTTATTGGGATGGTTTCCAATTCTTTATCATCGGAAGTGATACCGTTTATTGATTATTGCAGTGAGTTCAAAATATAGTGTCACATGATACTCAAAGTCATACATATAATTCATTTCAAAGACAAGAGATGCGATTTAATTTCGAATGTTTCTCAAAGGGACTGAGGGGCGGGTAAAAGGGGTTAAAATTGCCGTATTTGCTTTAAATGACATTTCCCTCTAAGCTGTTCGGCGGATTATAACCAAACTATAAAGCAAAATAAGCTAAACTAATGGGGACGTAACGTTATAAAAGTTGAGGGATAATCCCTCTCTGGTCCAAGGACCGGTAAAGGGGTTCAAATTACCTGATTTGGATTTAAATGACATCTCCTAAATATATGTTTTTTTGACTTTTTCAAAAATGTATTCATTGTTTTGTTCAGGTCAGAAATGGTGCTGGGAAACTGGAAATGGGCAGTAGGAAATACCTGAACTATTTTGACGGGTATGCAAAACTTCACAGTTGGACGTTTACTGGAAACGGATCGGCCTTTTTTTCCGCGGAAATGCTAATGTCGAAATCCTTCTTGTCTTCTGAGAGGAAAAATGACATTGAACCTTATCTAACGTTCGGGGGTGTCAATCCTCCCTTCGATGTAGCTGAAAAATTTGCTTGGATGTATTTCAAAATGAATAACATGAACGTTAATGTTTTCAAGTATGCCAACAGAACGGTCGCCATCAACGACTTGTGGGTTTCCTACGAGTTCGATCTTCAAACATTGAATACTATAGGATTTAGGAATCCACCAGTTCCTCCGTCAAAGTTTTGGAATATTGGCAAAGAAGTTGACATGTCTTCTGCTCATCCAGTTCCGGAGTATGGGACGTCGTCAAGGTTTGAAATTATCACAACATTGAGTTTTATTCCCGGAACCAAAGGTCGGTTAGGCGTGGTCCGGATAACGTCCCTAGATACCACAGAGATGGTGGCTGAGTGGGAGACGGAGAAAAGTCACTACATGCATTCGTTCTCTGTCACACCAAACTATGTCATCCTGTTCGCCGCTCCGTACACCGTCAGCATTACGAAAATGCTGGAGACCTGTTCAGTAGAGGGTGGAATGGTTTGGGATGGGAACGCCAACACCACCATATATATTGTGGAGATCAAGACAGGAACGCTACACACACTACAGACGGAGAACGTCTTCGTTACTCATCATATAAATGCTTTTGAACTGCCAGACGGTAGAATCGTGTTGGATCTTCCGACACAGAAAAATCCTTTCGCTTTTAATTATTTCGACTTTTCATATATTTTTAATAAAACTGCTCGGATGAATATTATATCAATGCCCATCCTCAAACGATATACCATTGATATTCACAAAAAATCTGTGTTGAAAAAGACATTCAAGAATGGACCTAAAGCTCCCTGCGCAGGCGCACTTGAATTGCCGGTGATTAACGAGAACTACCGCCACTTGAACTACTGTTACATCTACGGTCATGTGATAAACTATAACGGGAAGGGTTTCAGTCACATGGCTCTGGTCAAAAAGGATGTGTGGGACGAAGCCGGGGACCTGATGTATGCCGCACCCCACCAGCACTTTACAGAGCCTTGGTTCGTCCCCAACCCCTTGGGCAAGGAGGAGGATGACGGCGTGCTTATGACGTCAGCTTTTGACGGTGATATGAAGCAGAGCTACCTTGCCATACTAGACCCTAAAACAATGACATTGACAAATCGCGCCAAAATGCCTACAACTGTCCCATTTAACTTTCACGGCCGGTTCTTTAACATCCCTTGAAGTAATGTTTGTACATATAAGTGCATCAGAAGCGCGCTTATTAGTTGTCGATAAGTGTTTTCCATTGTTATATCTTAAGGCAGACGTAAATATTCTATGTGGGGTGGTTTTGGTTCAATATAGCAGTCAATGTCAGTATGCTTGATATGTTTTTCTTTGGCAAATGCCTCCATATATTATGAAGTTCCACAGCTCCTGAAACATCCACAGAGATCTTTAAGGTTCTGCAATCCTGAAAGAAAAGAGTTGCAGAAGAAACAAGAATTGCTAATTTGTTTTCATATTGCATGGCAAAATCGCTTTGCATTCTTTTTACATTAAATTGGCATCAAGACTTAATTAAGTTTTCATATTTGTTAGATATTTGGCTTTAATATATGACTTAATATCTTATGTTTTATCTGTCGATTTTGTCCGATGATTCGGTCTGCTTTGTCTGTTGATTTTGTCTCTCATCTCCTGGATTACACCTTAGTTTTGGGTTTGTTTGAAATTATGACAATCATGTAAATATTTCTGTGATAAACATTTTGTCTTATTTAGCCTTATATGTGGTGCTATTTATAGGCTTTTAACTCATGCACCCTGGAATTTCATAATGAACTATTTCAACCTATGAATTGGACGATTTCAAATGTGTCCGTAGGGATGAAAGAGTAATTGTAATACTCACGGGAGTCCTTCAGACGTCCGTATCGTCAATATTTCATCACGGCCAAGAGATTATAAACTGTAGAATGTAGTGATGCGTGTTAATAGCACCATTTGTGTTACTTGCGACTTGCCCATTTAAAAAGACATACATTGCAAAGAGCCTGAGATGCAGTGATTCTGACACGTCTGGTTAGCTGTCCAGGAAGTGTGGGCTTTGGGGTAGCATATTGGACATTATATGGGACAGATATATTTCCTTTCACGCGTGTTACAATGTGTGATGTTTTACTGCTAGAAGTGATCAAGCAGTCTGCCAACAAAACAGGTACAGCACAGTTGATAAACCGTAGGATGTCAAACCGGAAGATGTCAAGGCACCTAGCTAATGGCATTTCTCGCGATAATGCTCGCGCCAACAATGAACTTCCGATGGGAAATACCAAAATAGACATTAGAGCACGCCAGGCAGAGACATCTCAAAACATTCTTGGAGTAACTCCTTTGTTAAAAAAAAAGAGGTAATGAGAAGAATTGGTGGAGCAGTGGAGGAATTATTATTTATTATTATCAATTTAGTGAACATGGTGTATGTTTCATCGAAAACATTTATTTTTGTCACCGGTGATATCTAATAAGATTCGAAGTTTATGAAAGATGATGGATTTGTTTTATTATGGCTTACTATCTGGTCAGTATTGCATACTATTAAAGTAATGATGTTGATAGTTTAGCTCTGATACAAGAACATATGTGTGTAATGAATACGAACGTGAGTGTACCGGTGATCTAAACGGTAGAGCCAGAACCTGAAGTGGCTTCATAGAAAATGATAATTTTAAGTAGCGATAGAGCCAGAACCTGAAGTGGCTTATGTAAACCCAATAGGAACAAAGCTAGATGAATGACTTGTGACAATTGTTTGAAAGAGATGAATTAGACGACATCATTTTAAATCAGATGCAGAAATCCCAGAGAGAAAATATTTATATTCATTGTGTAAGTTCAAACGAAACACATGACAACGTGTTTTAAGTTACTTTATAATGTAATATTTAGTTCAGAACATTTCCCAGCTAAGAAGAACATTGGAACCATTATTCTAATATTTAAGAAATGGGATGTAAATGTAGCTAATAATGTTGGAGGTATTCAGTAGTCACATGTCTCAGAAAAAAAGCCAACGCCATTCAAATAAGAGATTGGTTAATGTTGATAAATCACATACTTTTATTACCGATGGTCAGTTTGGATTTATTTTTTGTTTCGGTCGTTATTAGATATATCGGTAAACGTAACAGTCTTTATTGTTCTTTAATTATTATAAAAGTGCATTGACTGGTTAGACGTCAAACTATTTTGTGTTAAATGATTAAGGAAGGAAAATATGTAGCAAGCATCCATGCAAATGTTAAAGTTGTTAAATTCAAATATGTTACCGATTTTTATCTAATATGATTGTGGTTTGTTTCAAGGGGAAATATTTTCTCCCTTTTTGTGTGTACATTATTTCTTAATGATTTATTGTTTCAAACAGATTGTCTTTCACTAAGAATTAAGACCAAATTTTACTTGCGTGAATGTACGACATTATTATGCTAACAGAAACACCAGAAATGGTAGATTCCCTGGCAGAATGCTGTCGGAAACGGACAGCTATCTTTAGAAATAGTTGTTAAATATTAGCGAATGAGAAGTGGTTCGATTACAGCGGTGTAACTGAAATAGTTTTACTACCTTTAACTTTTGAGGGATATTTAACAAAAATTACAAGAAAAACAAGGTCGGAAAGTACTATTGTCCATACTTATGTATGTAAAAACAATTCATTTTATACCGAATCTCGTCTCACTGTGTATGGCATGTTTGTGAATAACATTTTAATCTAAATGTATATTTTTTTTCATATACTGAATTTTTGAAGTGATATATATAATCAACGCTTTCTGCTTTTCCATGTGTTACTTTGGAAGATTTGATTAGAAATATTCAGAAAATTTGTACAAGATCGAGTACTGATTACAATTAGAGCGTTATGAAAAATGTTCACTTGAAGCATGCATGGTTTGTGATGTTCAATGTGTTTGAGACTGATTCTGTAGTTTTGTTAATCGTTCTAGTAATTCATGCAAACAGCAACTATGTCATTAGTATTCCCCCGCCATATAGTGTTGCCCATGTCCGTCCCGCGTCCCGTCCCGTCCCGTCCTGTCGCGTCCCGTCCCATTCATGAGCGGGGGCATTTATGTCTTACAAACATTTTCTAGGTTTTTTTCAACAAGAATTTATCAAGAAATCCATTCTTCAACAGGACTAGCATATTAGTAACTGTAAAGGTGCACAAAGAAAGAAAGAAATGTATTGTATGTAATAAAAGTGAAGCGGGTCCGGTAGGAATACCAATCAAGACATCCGCTCTAATATTAAACAATATTATTTAAGAAGGCCTAGTTGTGTTCCATTCATTCAATTATTAGAAGTCAAAAATACATTAAAGCATGCTTTTAATATTAGCAAGTAAAAGTAGAAAGATTTTTGTAGCAGGTCACGACTAGAGCAGCGTATAGATAGCGTGTCAGCTTATTGTATATACAATCCTGCCTTTGGGAATAGGGGAGAGATCGTTTTATGTTCTCATGTATGGTGTTTAATAGAATGTTTGATGTTAAAATTAGCTAGTATTGGAGTTTTTGTTCTTTTTGTCTAACTTGTCATTGTGCTTTTACTAACCATAAGTTGCAAATAAAGACACATAACAAAATGATAGTTTCACGGGTGATTAATGAGTGTGCTGTGTAAACTTGTAGAAAATGTATCTTAGTTCGAAAGTTTAATAATAAAACAGTTTACTTTTTGGCTGATGATTTGGGAAAGCGCAACGTTTGTTCGCATGCCAATGTCTATAGTATGCTTAAATATCTTATTATGACCGCCTGTTATGTGTAATTGGGGCGTATTGTAAAAACAATATGCATAATTAGCAATATCGCAAATGCTTAAAAACCATATCATAGACAAGTATAAAATGAAATACTATATATATGAACATAGCTATGCTCTAGTTACAAGCTTCCGTGCCTAGCTTTGTTAGACCCCATTTTGCATCAATCGTGCCTTAATGTATGAAAGTTGCAGTGATCACATTGTGAAAGGTATAGTATAACCTTATGGTAGTAACTACTGCTATCAGGGATTCGTCAGGCGCCCTTTATGGAATACACCAGTGGGATTCTATGTCCCCTCGTATAAAAAAAAATGTATTTTTTTGTGTGTGTTAAACTGTCGCTTTCACCGACAGAGCTATGAGGTCGACGGTTCGACTGCTACAGTTCTCCTGTTGCACCATTTGTGCCTGCCTGATTGTCACAAAACAATAACTCAACAATTTCATAAATTAAAACGGCACGACCACGTCGCGTACTGAGTTTATTACAAAACAAACAAACAAACAAACAAAACCCATTGCATCCTCAATATACATACTTAATTCAAATCCTGTCAAATTCAATGTACATCAACATCAATAGCGTTACTTAGCTATACTTATCATAATCGCGTATCAGTTTCGTTAAAGTGATACAAAGAGGAAATATCCTCAAAAATTTAGAAAATATGTGTGAACGTGTCGACGTGGTCGCTCTGAATGGCCACCTTACACCTTACACACCCACACATGCGACGCAAACACGGACTCTGCAGGCTGCCTCATGCGGCACGCATACGACAGGAAATAACGATTTCAGTCTAATTCGTACCTCAAACGAATGAAATTAGATTTATATCATATCAAAGCAGCACGCGTTGTCTCCCTTGTTACACAACTTATCGCAATTGTTGTTTACTCAACAAAAAACGTGATAGACGAGCAGGGTATCATTTCAATATTTTGTTTGTATGTTATAAGATGGGGAGAGTTTCAAAACGTGGTGGATTAGTTCGTTTTGTTGTTTACGTATCGTTTCGAGGAAGATGGCTTTGCGGTGCGTGTCTTGAATACAATTATCTTTGTGCTTTTGCATAATAGTTGTTTTGGGAAGATATGCAGTTGGATTTTGGGTTGTGAGAAATAATATGTGTTTGTGTGTATTGGTCACGTAGATATGTCTGTCAGTGAGGTTATGACCGTGTAAAGAGAAAGGGATGTTCGTATTGCTGTGTACAGTATGTATTTTAGGTTTCGACTTTGTAGGTTTGGGGTCTAAAGGGATGAGCTTGTTTTCAATTTTTCGATTTGATTATTACTCAATTAGTGTAGAGTAGGTCTCTGACTGAAGTGCAGCCTTGTGTACCCGTTCGTAATACTTTTATCTGCGTTTCAGAAAGTAGTTATATATTTGCGTATGGTGTAATGTTGGTGATATGTCCCGTGGTATGTTGCGTTTTTTAGTTTGACTTAGGTATTTGTAAACCTAAGTTCACATTTCCCAAATTATGGTTGTGGAGTGTGTGATGTGTTTGTGTACTTTTCGGAAAACATTGCAATTTTAGCACCTCGGAATTCCTGAAAATTCCCTACTTGGAGTAGCTAATAAATTACTGGAACAACGTAAGAAACTAGTCCCTTACTCAAATGCTGTAGTTTGTTTATATACGAGTTCCTTCCCTTAGATTGTGTGATAATCGAGACATTCTCCGTAGAGAGCACAGGTCCAATCAATAGTAAAAATTTACTTAAGGACGCTAAGGTCCGTGGCTTGGAATTGTTTATTGAAAATTGGAAAAGGGAACTTAACCGTCCCGGAGCCAAAAATTGTATTTCTGGAGTTAACAAACTACGTACGTATAGATTATTTAAGTTTAATTATGAGGTAGAAAATTATAATATGTTAGTAATGCCTAAATCACATCGTAGTGCGAGTAGCTAAGTTTAGGTGTGGGGTTGCACCGATACGCATCGAAACAGACCGGTATGAGAGAATACCTTTGAGTAAAAGAAAGTGTTTCGCGTGGTAGAAACAGAGAATCACGTTTTAATAGAATGTAACTTGTATGATGATCTCCAATCGGGTCTATTGCAGGAGGCTAGTAAAATCACAAGTGATTTTTACAATATGAGTAAAGATGAAACGTTAGTTATAATTCTAAGCAACCCTTACTTGGCGAGGCCCTGTGCCAAAACCTGTGTTAATATTCTTAACCGATGTCGCAACTTAATCTATAATTAAGCAGTAATGTGTCTTTTAATGTCAATTATTTTTATAGTTTTATATTGGCATTTTTTTTTAAATTCATAACTGTGTGCATTTATGTTATACTTTTACAGTCTAGAATGATAGGGGAAGAGTCAGTGTCTCGTAAGTCTAATATAGACTGGATGTAAGGGTGGGTGAGTAGACATATTTTAGAGATTGTAATACTTGTACCTTTTACATGTGACACTATAATAAACTAATTTGAATCACTGCACTTGTCAAGCCTTCGGCGACTTCCGTCATGATCCGTTGTAGGTAATAGTCAGAAACTTTACATGAACTGATAATGTTTAACCGCGAGATTCCAGCCAATCAGAAGCCTGTATTAGCTGTTGTCCGTGATGTTTCTGAGAAAGTGTAAACAATGTGGTTCCAACAACAAGATACGTTAGAAAACATAAAATGTGACGAATTATCAGATCACTGATAGGTTCTTTATTATAGTTTATTATAATGACAGTAAAATTCGTTCAATCTGAACCAGTCCATATTGTAAACGCAGGCCATAACGTTAACTGCCTCTGCATACAACCTTGCTACTCATATATTTGTATCAGACAGATAGATATTAAAAATGATGAATGCAGATTTGAAACATGTTCCTTAAGAGTATTCGTATGTTTTGGGCCAAGCTTTCAGCTCGGTGTCTATGAATGATAAGGATGTGATTTTTATGAATTAGGGTGTTGTGTAGCGTCCAAACCTCTAGAATCGCCTGTGCTTTAGAGTAGCAGGGTGCGAAACGAAACCGGATGTATACAAATATATCAGAAAAATGGCAGAGGATATGAGTGTGTGAAGTGAAGTAGTGTTTGGAGAAATATTAATAGTTTTGTTAAAGATATCGACTAATAGGAAATGATGGAAAATTAGATGTACTAATGTTTTGGTCGGAAAATTTGTGCTGGAAATAGAATGAAGAAAATTTGATGCGGCGAATTAAAAGAAAATGATGCAGTTAATGCAATTTAATTTCGAATTAAGTTCAAAATAAAAACGGAAAATCCACTTTTTTCTGTTTGAGATTTTAGGAGGTAATTGAAATGACATAACTAAGATCTGACTAAGGTTTCCTTTGAGCGAATATTACCAATAAAACTTGTTATCCAGACTTAAAGTGGTGTGAAGTGACACCATGGCTATCACATTAGATGTGGTCTAAGTTAGCTGCATATGACATTTGATATGCGAAACTTCACTAAACATACTTCTAGCTTTCCTTTTCGCAACTAAGAGGATACCCTCCTCCGTTCCAAAATGTGAAGAAAAACTTGCTGCCAACAGGCCACTTGGCATAATATGATATTATACTAAACAAGTAATTGGGTCATTATAAGCCAATATTTAGGAGCACGATAATCTGCTTATAACAGGAGTTTAAAATCAGCATCAGTATTAATTCGATAACGTTAATATATATCACATATGCAAGTTGGTCTACAAAGAGAGTGTTAGGGACACCATCATTGACATCCTGTATTACCCGTGGGCTGAATGCAAGTAATGTCACGTCATCAAAACGACAACAGTCAGCAGTTGGCATTCATGTCGGAAATTGTAATATTTGGAGAAAGTTCTTGAAAACCGAATCAATTGCGCTGTGCTAACACCGTCGGTCAAGGGGAATAGGGGTGTTACTATCAGATGACACAAATACAAGTCGGTCAGGAGGGGTGTTACTATCAGATAACACAAATACAAGTCGGTCAGGGGAATGGGGGTGTTACTATCAGATGCTGACACAAATACAAGTCGGTAAGGGGAATAGGGGTGTTAATATCAGAAGACACAAATACAAGTCGGTCAGGAGGGGTGTTGCTATCAGATGACACAAATACAGGTCGGTCAAGGGGAATAGGGGGGTTACTATCAGATGACCCAATTACAAGCCGGTAGGGGGAATAGGGGTGTTAATATCAGAAGACACAAATACAAGTCGGTCAGGAGGGGTGTTACTATCAGATACAAATACAAGTCGGTCAGGAGAATAGGGGTGTTACTATCAGATGACACAATTACAAGTCGGTAGGGGGAATAGGGGTGTTAATATCAGATGACACAAATACAAGTCGGTCAGGGGAAATAGGGGTGTTACTATTAGATGACACAAATACAAGTCGGTCAGGAGAATAGGGGGGTTACTATCAGATGACACAAATACAGGTCGGTCAGGGGGAATAGGGTTGTTACTATCAGATTACACAAATACAAGTCGGTCAGGGGGAATAGGGGTGTTTCTATCAGATGACACAAATACAAGTCGGTCAGGAGAATAGGGGAGTTACTATCAGATGACACAAATACAGGTCGGTCAGGGGGAATAGGGTTGTTACTATCAGATTACACAAATACAAGTCGGTCAGGGGGAATAGGGGTGTTTCTATCAGATGACACAAATACAAGTCGGTCAAGGGGTATAGGGGTGTTACTATCAGATGACACAATTACAAGTCGGTAGGGGGAATAGGGGGGTTAATATCAGATGACACAAATACAAGTCGGTCAGGGGGAACAGGGGTGTGACTATCAGATGACACAAATACAAGTCGGTAGGGAGAATAGGGGTGTTACTATCAGATGACACAAATACAAGGCGGTCAAGGGGAATAGGGGTGTTACTATTAGATGACACAAATACAAGACGGTCAAGGGGAATAGGGGAGTTACTATCAGATGACACAAATACAGGTCGGTCAGGGGGAACAGGGGTGTTACTATCAGATGAAACAAATACAAGTCGGTGGGGGGAATAGGGGTGTTACGATTAGATGACACAAATACAAGTCGGTCAGGGGGAACAGGGGTGTGACTATCAGATGACACAAATACAAGTCGGTAAGGGGAATAGGGGTGTTAATATCAGATGACACAAATACAAGTCGGTCAGGCGAATAGGGGTGTTACTATCAGATGACACAATTACAAGTCGGTAGGGGGAATAGGGTGTTACTATCAGATGACACAAATACAGGTCGGTCAGGGGGAATAGGGGTGTTACTATTAGATGTCACAAATACAAGTCGGTCAAGGGGAATAGGGGTGTTACGATTAGATGACACAAATACAAGTCGGTAGGGGGAATAGGGGGGTTAATATCAGATGACACAAATACAAGTCGGTCAGGAGAATAGGGGTGGTACTATCAGATGACACAATTACAAGTCGGTAGGGGGAATAGGGTGTTACTATCAGATGACACAAATACAGGTCGGTCAGGGGGAACAGGGGTGTTACTATCAGATGACACAAATACAAGTCGGTCAGGGGGAACAGGGGTGTTACTATCAGATGACACAAATACAAGTCGGTGGGGGGAATAGGGGTGTTACTATCAGATGACACAAATACAAGTCGGTCAGGGGGAACAGGGGGGTTACTATCAGATGACCCAAATACAGGTCGGTCAGGGGGAAGAGGGGTGTTACTATCAGCAAATACAAGTCGGTCACGGGGAATAGGGGCGTTACTATCAAATGACACATATACAAGTCGGTAGGGGGGATAGGGGTGTTACTAACAGATGACACAAATGCGAGTCGGTCAGGGGGAAAAGGGGTGTTACTATCAAATGACACAAATTCAAGTCGGTAGGGAGAATAGGGGTGTTACAATCAAATGACCAAAATACAAGTCGGTCAAGGGGAATAGGGGTGTTTCTATCAGATGATACAAAGACAAGTCGGTCAGGAGAATAGGGGTGTTACTATCAGATGACACAAATGCAAGTCGGTCAGGGGGAATAGGGGTGTTACTATCAAATGACACAAATACAAGTCGGTAGGGAGAATAGGGGTGTTACTATCAGATGACACAAATACAAGTCGGTCAGGAGCATAGGGGTGTTACTATCAGATGACACAAATACAGGTCGGTCAGGGGGAATAGGGGTGTTACTATCAAATGACACAAATACAAGTCGGTCAGGGGGAATAGGGGGGTTACTATCAAATGACACAAATACAAGTCGGTAGGGGGAATAGGGGTCTTACTATCAGATGACACAAATACAAGTCGGTCAGGAGAAGGGCACAATTGGTACACAGAGGCATGCTGGAACGATGTGCTTTAGAATCCTGACACAAAACTCAAAATGGATAATGTCAACCAGAAACTCAATCGTTCTCATGGTCCTATTTTGGTTTTTGTTTCCTTTTCATAAAATAATTATACCATCGTTCGTCTTGGAAAAAGACATTTCTCTTAATAAGAGAATCAAGACATCCCTTTCGTTTGGTATGAGGTATGGTAGTGAAACTACAAAAAGTCAAATGTTCTGATAAAAGAAACATGTTTGAAAGCAAATATTTAAATATATGCATGCCATTTGTAATTTTAAAATGTTGCGTTGTTTTAGTACACACACCCACACAAACACACACACGTGTAAGTCAATGGTTCAATTTGCATTAATACAGGTAAGATGTTTCTTGCGGATAAGTTATATCGGGATAACGGTTGTGTGATATCTAGTGTATCACAGACACGAGGTACTTATCAGAGGTTATTGGTCAATTAACGTTACATAGATAAACATGATCTACGATCCACCCAGTCAGATAGAAATACGTTGGATTTATACACTGCCCCTGTCGACGAGATAAACGAGGGATAATTTAGCCTAACCCCCTACATCCTGTCGACGAGATAAACGAGGGATAATTTAGCCTAACCCACTACACCCTGCCGACGAGATAAACGAGGGATAATTTAGCCTAACCCACTACACCCTGCCGACGAGATAAACGAGGGATAATTTAGCCTAACCCCCTACACCCTGTCGGCGAGATAAACGAGGGATACTTTAGCTTAAACCCCTACACCCTGTCGACGAGATAAACGAGGGATAATTTAGCCTAATCCACTACACCCTGTCGACGAGATAAACGAGGGATAATTTTGCCTAATCCACTACACACTGTCGACGAGATAAACGAGGGATAATTTAGCCTTAAACGAGGGATAATTTAGCCTAATCCACTACACCCTGTCAGCGAGAAATACGTTGGATTAAACCCGACTGGTGAGTGTTTTATCGTTAAGTCATGATTGTTCATCACTAATGTGTTACTCTGACAAAACTAGACTGAATGGACTTTGCCTTGCTGTTCATTTTCATGCTATTGCTTGATGTTTCTTGAATTGTTTAGTTTGCTTGATAAAGATTGAAAAGCAGTGAGAAAATGGCATAAAAATGACATATATGGCATAACCTGACCCTGATAATGTACCGTTACAATTCATGCTAATGTGCAATATATAACTTTAACCAGCATATTGTGTATTAGCTGAAATGAAGAAAAAAAACCCTGCATATTCTGTTTTTACCCATAAAATAATCTAAACATACTGTCCATATGTTTATTACTGATTTTTTTAATTTAATGTCAATAATGTTTTATATTTAGATAACAAAGCCGTTACAAATGTTATTCATCAGGTGCAAAATAAATCAACTTTGTATAAAATCATATACTTTATTCTAATTTACGTTGATCTATAGCATTATGGGTATTATTAAACATATCTTTGAGTTGAACTAAAGGAGGTGGTTGAAGACGATGATAAATGTTGAAAAAAAAATTACAAAAAAAAATTGTTTACGTTTACATTTTTCACTCGCTCTTGATTTATTTATGTATTGCACGATACTTTATACACAGTCATTACATCTCTCGTTACCAAATTTTAGCAAAGGAAAGTATTTTTCTTCAATTTGAATGTACATTCGTTTTTTCGACTAAGGTCGTTTTCATTGGGTAAGATGTGCATGGCTTTTGTTTTAATAAAACCATAACGGTTATGGGCTTCTAGCAAAAATAACGTTTCTGAAAATGTGTTCGTAGATTGGCACAAAATAAAATTTTATTTAATCGAATTAATTTTGTAGAAATCTTGTTATCACTTCTTTGATTACTGCCACCNCCCCCCATTAAAAAAAAAAAAAAAAAAAAAAAAAACAGAAAAAAACAACAACAACAAACAGGTCGATCTAAAGCAAAAAACAAGCGAACACTCGTAAGTTCATGAAACATATTTGAAAGACGAGTTAAAGTATGTTTTTATTTATTGTTAACAGATAGTCGTTATAGAGTGACAAAAACATGGAGCCAGGAACACTGCAGCTCCCAGTCATAGACATGTCAAAGTCTCGGACTCAACGAGACGAGATGTCTCAAAGCTTGATTGATGCCCTTGAAAATGTAGGCTTTCTGGCAATAGATAATATTGAAGGACTAGACTTTGACATTCTACTCAGGAGCTGTAAATGGTTCTTCAACCAACCATATGACAAGAAGAAATGTTTGTTACGAAAGCAATGGAACCCGGAAAACACCAACATGTTCCGGGGGTACTTCCCGGTAATTGAGGGGGAACCCAGTAGAAAAGAGGGATTCGAGTTCGGACCTGTGTATCCAACAATTGACAGCAACACGACACGTGCGTCATGGATCTACGAGGAAAATGTTTGGCCTGAAGAAGATGGAAAATTGCCTTTCAAATCTGAGCTGACGAAAGCATTTGATATTATGCATAATACCGCCATGGAAATCTTGCGACTTACTGCACGTGGGATTGGAATAGACGAAAATGCGTTTATTGGTTTATTTGACGATAAACCACTAACTACGTTCCGTATGATCCATTACCCGACTTGGGAAAGTACCCCACCGGAAGTGTGTCTGCTTGAGGACGGTAAGGTGATCACCACGCCGGAACATACAGACACGGGCTTCATGACATTACTTACGACCTTTGGCTACAGTGGTTTAGAGGTAATGACAGCGGATGGTCGATGGGCAGCAGTCGCTCCGCGTTCCAATAGCCTCGTTATGAACATCGGTGACGTATTCTCGCGCATGCTTGGTGGTCGGTTCCGAGCAACACGGCATCGTGTAGTTGACATCGGTGAAGACAGGTTTTCATTTCCGTTTTTTCTTGAACCTTCCTTTGATGCAGATATCGGGGTTAATTTCCTGACGAAATTTACTGGAAGTGGTCCCAAGCACGTCCCCGAGCTGTACGGCCCGTGGGTGTTTCACCAGTACAAATATGTGAAGAAACATTTCGAGTACAGAGTTTTACCAGACGTTTGAAATGGACCCTGTATTACACTTACGTGAATGTGATTAAGCATAGACAATAGTTAAATCAGAAAACGTACATAGGTAATGATAAATCAACTATTTTGTAATGATCTCAGAATACATTAGAAGACAAAGTGGTGTTCAGTGGTGTTTGATTACATCTTTGATATGAATAAATAATAACCGTAACTACACGAAATGTTTCTTAAATGGTTTTGTGATCTTTTTGATTTTCTCGTGCACAAAAGGAGATACCAACTTACAACCTGATATTTTATTTATTTTTAAAAATCCATGTTTTATATTTCGTACACAGACATGTTGGCGTTGGGGTTTTGAGCAACATCACTTTTGTTTATTGGATATGAAGAACAAACAAAGAGTCCGCCAGACAGCCATCGACACTTGTTTGTTTCCTACAAAGGAGAACAACTCTGGTAGTTGCCTTGAAAATAAAGAAAATACCATTAGCAAGAAATGCAATACAACTGAATTAAGTTGGGGGGTTTTCAACACATTTTATTGAATTAACGAAAGGATAAGACACCGGGCAGTGCCATATGTAACTCTTCACCTGAAGCTATTTCATTCTACTTTTAAAAAATGAACAACGCTAGAAAAGTTTTGCTTTTTCATTTTGTATTGATTAAAATATAGATCATTATGCTCGATACTATTGCATAAAAGGTACAATTCTAGATGCGGGAAATTTTCAGACAGTGAATCTGATGAGTTAAGATGAGTAAAGCAGGGTATATTGTACCTAAGGCGAGTAGGATGTGGGGATGAGACAGGTCATCAAACACGGAGGACAACAGAAAATGCCAACCTATATTATCCCTTTGATCTCTAATAATCACCCAAACCTTGACTCAGACACCACATTCTCCTACAGGGCATAATGTATCATGACAAATGCAGGGGGTGGGTTGGTGGGGGTCTATAGGATAGCATATCACCATGAAAAAGAACTTGGTTGCAGGTTAATGTCAATTCTATTAAATAGCTGAAAATACAGAAGTAGGTAAAAAGGTTGAAAAGTAAGAGTTACGTTACGGCCATCAAATGCAGCTTCCACAGTAGTTCTCACGCAGATTAAAGCATATGTTACGCTTTATAGAAATGTCCTTTTACGGCATCAATCTACCACAACTTAGAAGCATTGGCCTTCTGTTCGCTATGCCGGGCATGTTAAAGTCTGGGAGTGTGGAACTCTATGGTGTTGAGTAGGTCCCTAGGGGCAGTGATCAGCACAGAGTTTTCCATAGGGAACTGTAGGTTTTCTTTATTTGACTTAATCGTAAAATCTCGTGAACACCATCAATTAGGGCTTGTTATGATAGGATGATGCTCCTTCTTTCTTTCAAATGCTTTGGCGTCTCAGAAGACAGCTCACACAGTAAGCATGTGGGTTAAACTTAATTATGGTTACAATGACATCTGTAACAGGTAAGCAGTTGTATGTTCACTGGTAGTCGGGACATGTCATTTGTAGGTTGGGAAAGCGAGGTTATGGCATATTGCGGGGATTATAGATTAAAATTGAAAACAATCAAAGAGGATGATGTATCGACCTCCTTCTATATTGAAATTGAACAGTAGCTGATATCCGCAAAACTCACACTAAACTTCCACTTGTCTTTACAAACTAAACCATCAACAACATCATGGATAGCAATGACCTTTCTGACCTCGCCAAACCAGTTGTACTGTTTGAGTCCGATTTTACCACCTTGTCTCGTTGTAAGGTCAGCTGTGTTTTAACAAGTCATGATGCTCTATAATGCTTCTAAATAGGGAAAGAACCCTATTGTGAACCTTCGCGCGTCCACTGGTAGAAATCCCGAGCATATATGTAGATTCATATATTGGCAGTGTTTATTGGTAGAGAGAACAGTAAATTCCCCAATGGTTCGGTGTTGGCTGAAGAACTTTTTTTTTGAAATATAACATTACCGGAAGTACGCATACTCTTATGAGGTGACATACACAACCCTTGTTTGCCATGTAGACCCGGAACCATGATAGCATGTTCTCAGTAACAGCAGTAGGGGTTTGCTTTCTGGCCGATCTAAGTACGTCCATGTCGGAATGCAATTGACTGACTGACATCGCTAAGTACTATCGATGTTATATCTGAGTTTTGACTGGATCGCATTGTTGACCGAACAAGATATACCCATGATAACCCATTTGGTAGGTTGTAGGTTGTAACTGCTCCCTGTTGCTGTAATCCGTCGCTATATTAATTAGCTTGACTAATTCCTCCAATACACACTCTACAACATCAACGTATCATTACATCAACACACAGTATCGACTTACACTATCAAATCATAATGCACATCAATGCACACCATATAATATATTTATAACCATCTCTTATACTTCAATGCTCCACATATATATAAACACACTATTTATATACATGTGTCAATACATAAATTACATCAATGTATACCATATATACATTGTTAATTTGTATTAATACATTATAAATCTATACACATCATACAACAATACACTCTGTATCAATACAAAACACATAACAATACACTTCAAAATATAATTTGATGAAGGCTAAATTATCACTTTGACTCTTCACACAATATTACAGTTGGGTAGCATCACTAACTGTTATTTTTGGCCCCGTAGATGACCTGTTGAACATACGCGGCGCCTTCATGCTTATAGTTGTCCTAACGGCACCAGATAACTATGTGAAAGACAGGAGTATTCTCTGGCTCAAAACCCAAGAGATTAATCGGCGATAAAATAGTGCTTCCTATAGACCATTTAATTACGTCAGTAAGATATTGGCTGACCTCATCATGTTTGTTTCAGAGTCACGTATCTTTTTAGTAGGAGAACCATAAAGCGGCAGTGTCGGGTTACATGCCTTCCGAAAGTTACAGCATCAAAACCTCCACACCATTGGCGATAGGTTTAAACAATCAACTGTTTATATCCCGTTATAGAGATACACAATATAACAGCCACATACCTGTTGTATCATAGCGCTGTTCTCTACCAGAATATGTATGAACTATACGTGTGTGTGTATACACGTATATACATGTACTATGCATGTATATACAATTGTATTTATACTACATAATGCAATTATGTGCAATTAGATATATGATGAAAGTCCTTAAGAACAGCTATACCCTAAAGACATACACTAGACAGCATTATCGTCAGTCAAAGTCACCTGTCCGGCCATTAGGTATAACTGAACACACTTTGATACCTGACGCTATACGTATATATATATATCGTTATGTAAGACTAAATATATTAAGATGGATATCAATGCTATTGGCTCGGCTCCAGTTATACTCCACTTAAATCCAGACTTGTTTAACAGCTACAAAATTGACTAACGTGGCCTGTGAATCGGATTCAACCTAACAATAATACACTGTTTGGTCTCTACAGCAGCATGACGTCAGAAAAGAATGTAGTAAATTGAACGTCGACATTTTCAACTCATCAATATTGCATTTGCGATAACAAGTTCCCTACATGTGCGTTTGCTCCGAGTTAGGAGATAACTCTTGGCGGATTTTTAAACAACTGTACATGTGATAACAGGTCGAGTGGTATATTACAGATAGCACGGAAATGATACAAGACAATCATACATACACGTATTTAGTACGAGTTTGTGACACCGTGTTTGTACCGTATAATATAGAGTGGTGTCTACGTGTTGGGATCTGATCTGACCTTTGAACTTTTAAGGAAAGGCTATACATGTCTGCCTGTATAACAGATCGGTATACATCACATGTGTTTTACTAGAAAACAACTTTTGTAGCTACAATCAGTCACACCAGGACGGAAATGTCCCGGACCTGTCAGCGGTCATTAGATACGTATACGTAGTCCTGTATCCCGTAGAAAGTGTGACGGTGTCCTCAGCCGGCGGGGACACGATGTCAGACACACTGTGTGAATAGAGGAAATGTCTAATCAGGTAGGCATACATATAATAATAGTATTTGCTGAATTTTAATTGTTTTACTGACTATTTGTGTACGTGTGTGTCTGTCTCTATATTTGCCAACATGTGACACCTACAAGCAGAAATTCATACACACCGGCATCGCGTGTTCTTATGATTAATCAAATTAATGTGTGTAGATTAAAATTCTCCAACAACAAAACACCACCCAAATCTGAACCACAACATTTAAACAACAACACAAAATTACACGTGAACCACAGGACATTAACACAACAAAACGAAGGCACACGTGAACAAGGACAATACCACAAAAACACATGCACTGCTGCACGATTCCATACGTGAATCGGAAAAAGTGAACCAACAGACGAACAACTCAAAACGATATTGTATATTTCAACTTGCACAAAAATAACACAGGATACCGTGCACGTGAATGTAAAAAACCCACCAACACACACACGATAACGTACAGGTGAACACTTAGACAAACAACATACGATTCCGTGAACCAGTAGACAATCAAAACACGATACAGTACAAGTGAACCAGTAGACAAACAGCACGATACCGTACAAGTGAACAAAAAGACAAACAACACGATACAGTACACGTGAACAAAAAGACAAACAACACGATACAGTACAAGTGAAACAGTAGGCAAACAACACACGATACCGTACAAGTGAAACAGTTAGCAAACAGCACACGATACCGTACAAGTGAACAGTAGACAAACAACACACGATACCGTACAAGTGAAACAGTAGGCAAACAACACACGATACCGTACAAGTGAACCAGTAGGCAAACAACACGATAACGTACAAGTGAAACAGTAGACAAACAACACACGATACCGTACAAGTGAAACAGTAGGCAAACAACACACGATAGCGGACAAGTGAAACAGTAGGCAAACAACACACGATACCGTACAAGGGAAACAGTAGGCAAACAACACACGATACCGTACAAGCGAAACAGTAGGCAAACAACACACGATACCGTACAAGGGAAACAGTAGCCAAACAACACACGATACCGTACAAGTGAAACAGTAGACCAACAACACACGATACCGTACAAGTGAAACAGTAGACCAACAACACACGATACCGTACAAGTGAAACAGTAGACCAACAACACACGATACCGTACAAGTGAAACAGTCGGCAAACAACACACGATACCGTACAAGTGAACAAGTAGGCAAACAACACGATAACGTACAAGTGAAACAGTAGACAAACAACACACGTTACCGTACAAGTGAAACAGTAGGCAAACAACACGATACCGTACAAGTGAACAAAAAGACAAACAATTAGCACAGAAGGAGACCAACACAAACACAAGTCTCAAATGTAAACACAGAAAATCAACAGCACATTTGATATTTATATAAACTTTTTTTTATTGCACGATGAGTGGGACACGCCATCAGCAGAGGATTGATATATGGAAGATGGAGGCGTTTAAGAATGTCAACCTGGACGGGGACTTATCCTCCGAACTCTATGAAATCATGCAAGAAAATACGTGCTCGAACGTTTCTGTGACGTCAGCAGACATTTCCGGGTTCTCCGAGGTGAAGTGTAACAGCACGTGTGACTATCTATTTATAGTTGAGGTGTTATGGTCGGACGGACGATCCATGTGTGTGAGGAGAACTTACAGAAGCTTTTTAAATTTTCGAAAAGTTTTGGTGGAATATTTTCAAAAAGATGACCAAAGTCAGGGATCAGTATTTATACCGCAGCTAACAGGTAGGACATTGGCTTACGTACTATAAGACTACCTTACACGTGTCCATGATAACTTAATTACCAATAAAATGGCGATGATTCAGTAGAATGTAAGTACATTGAGTATGACGTATCAATTTCATTAGACAGTTAATTGACGCTATTTAGACTACACCTCAATCCAATATATATCCAGGACGAAAACGCTGTACCCGTTCATTGACAATAATTAATGGGTTTGTCGCAAAGATGACTGTTCAATGGTTGCCAACAGGTTAGCATTTTATTGGTCTGAAGCAACTATGAGTGTTCAATAGTGGCTGAAACGTAGCGATCCATAGGCCATTTTCAAAGCAAGTGTTTTGTGATCCTTGTTATAAGTAATATACCGCATTTACGTACCAATCGCATGTTTTAGATAAACTATTACAACAATATTAGAACTTAATGGAAAGATTTATTCTTATCCACATTGGGGGCCGCGGTGGCCGAGTGGTTAAGGCGTCTAACATTCTGCTGCCACTAGCCCTCCACCACTTGGTCGTGGGTTCGTGGTCTACGTGCACGTGGGGCAGTCGCCTGATACACTTCCGCAGGTCGGTGGTTTTTCTCCGGGTACTCCGGCTTTCCTCCACCTCAAAAACCTGACACGTCCTTAAATGGCCATAGCTGTTAATAGGACGTAAAACACAAACACACCAAACCAAATCTTATCCACAAGTGTAATACAAATGTGGCCCCTACAAATCACGGACTTGAGCAAGGCTACTTCCTGCGTTGCTTTAATTAAGTCCGAGATTTTTAGTTTATAAGACACTCCTATATTGAATGCCCGTTAGATGGTCAGAAATCAATTCTACCCGCCGCGGTATCTCAAGGTGTCTTGTATATGTCACAAGGCTATGGACATTACCCCTTAATAGCAATCCTTCACAAGACATGTCCACACAATCTGTCGTACCTCTTAATGTGCGTGTGTAAATATACCTATCTAACCTTGATTTAGCCCTGTGAATACTACTGTAAATATCAGACGTAATAATGAATCAAACTCTGTACATAATACCCTGAAATATTTATTTAATTCATATCGGACCAAGAAATCAATATCCCCCATGCATCTGTGACCACTGTAAGACACTAGTGTTTCTTATACCACATACCATATTATAGTGTGGTCGATTTTACTCAATGTCATTCCCTTTCTGGAAACACTCCATTATGTCGTCAAAACACTGTATACAAACTCAATAAACTCAGGTTTAAATATGTCTTTTCCGAAGAAGTAGTAACAATTGGGGACAAACCTAGGTTCAAGTTGTTGCCAGTCCTAAGCCTCTTGTAAAAATATAATTGCTAAATATTTTTAATTATTCATTCGTTAATTAAATTTATACATAAAAAATGTAATCATTCAGCTCTACATTTACTCATTCATTATATTGATTAATTCGTGAAGTCTTAATCTAGTCAATTACGATGTAGGTTTAAGATCGCATACATTTCTTACTTGTGTATATCTATTTAATTAACTCATAATCAATTAATCTAATTATTGTTCACACAAATTACATGTAATTAATTTTCAATAAGTATTCACTTTACAGCATATTTTTTTTTATAAAACAGTGTTCTATACCCAACATATGGTAATACAATTGATTAATCTGACAAGGAGATAGTGTTTGAAATTAATTCAGTGTTCACATACCGTAAAAAAAGTACTTGACTTAGCGTCAGACTAATTTGATTACCTGTTTGACTAATTTGAATACCTGTTTGACTAATTTGATTACTTGTTTGACTAATTTGAATACCTGTTTGACTAATTTGAATACCTGTTTGACTAATTTGATTACCTGTTTGACTAATTTGATTACCTGTTTGACTAATTTGAATACCTGTTTGACTAATTTGATTACCTGTTTGACTAATTTGAATACCTCACTAATTTGAATACCTGTTTGACTAATTTGATTACCTGTTTGACTAATTTGATTACCTGTTTGACTAATTTGAATACCTGTTTGACTAATTTGAATACCTGTTTGACTAATTTGATTACCTCTTTGACATATTTGATTACCTGTTTGACTTATTTGATTACCTGTTTGACTAATTTGATTTCTTGACAGGGTTGAAGATGTTCCGACGCTACACACGTGACCTTGCGGAGGAAAGGGAAGCGGAACTCCATAGATTTGTCAAAAACCTCCTCAACGGAAACCCTATGGTAATAAAACCTTACTGGTCTTAAATGTCCTTAACGAAAACCCTATGGTAATAAAACCTTACTGGTCTTAAATGTCCTCAACGGAAACCCTCTGGTAATAAAACCTTACTGGTCTTAAATGTCCTTAACGAAAACCCTATGGTAATAAAACCTTGCTGGTCTTAAATGTCCTTAACGAAAACCCTATGGTAATAAAACCTTGCTGGTCTTAAATGTCCTTAACGAAAACCCTATGGTAATAAAACCTTGCTGGTCTTAAATGTCCTTAACGAAAACCCTATGGTAATAAAACCTTGCTGGTCTTAAATGTCCTGAACGAAAACCCTATGGTAATAAAACCTTGCTGGTCTTAAATGTCCTGAACGAAAACCCTATGGTAATAAAACCTTGCTGGTCTTAAATGTCCTGAACGAAAACCCTATGGTAATAAAACCTTACTGGTCGTAAATGTCCTCAACGGAAACCCTCTGGTAATGAAACCTTACTGGTGTTAAATGTCCTCAACGGAAACTCTCTGGTAATAAAACCTTACTGGTCTTAAATGTCCTCAACGGAAACCCTCTGGTAATACAACCTTACTGGTCTTAAATGTCCTCAACGGAAACCCTCTGGTAATGAAACCTTACTGGTCTTAAATGTCCTCAACGGAAACCCTCTGGTAATAAAACCTTACTGGTCTTAAATGTCCTCAACGGAAACCCTCTGGTAATAAAACCTTACTGGTCTTAAATGTCCTCAACGGAAACCCTCTGGTAATAAAACCTTACTGGTCTTAAATGTCCTCAACGGAAACCCTCTGGTAATAAAACCTTACTGGTCTTAAATGTCCTCAACGGAAACCCTCTGGTAATAAAACCTTACTGGTCTTAAATGTCCTCAACGGAAACCCTCTGGTAATAAAACCTTACTGGTCTTAAATGTCCTCAACGGAAACCCTCTGGTAATAAAACCTTACTGGTCTTAAATGTCCTCAACGGAAACCCTCTGGTAATAAAACCTTACTGGTCTTAAATGTCCTCAACGGAAACCCTCTGGTAATAAAACCTTACTGGTCTTAAATGTCCTCAACGGAAACCCTCTGGTAATAAAACCTTACTGGTCTTAAATGTCCTCAACGGAAACCCTCTGGTAATAAAACCTTACTGGTCTTAAATGTCCTCAACGGAAACCCTCTGGTAATAAAACCTTACTGGTCTTAAATGTCCTCAACGGAAACCCTCTGGTAATAAAACCTTACTGGTCTTAAATGTCCTCAACGGAAACCCTCTGGTAATAAAACCTTACTGGTCTTAAATGTCCTCAACGGAAACCCTCTGGTAATAAAACCTTACTGGTCTTAAATGTCCTCAACGGAAACCCTCTGGTAATAAAACCTTACTGGTCTTAAATGTCCTCAACGGAAACCCTCTGGTAATAAAACCTTACTGGTCTTAAATGTCCTCAACGGAAACCCTCTGGTAATAAAACCTTACTGGTCTTAAATGTCCTCAACGGAAACCCTCTGGTAATAAAACCTTACTGGTCTTAAATGTCCTCAACGGAAACCCTCTGGTAATGAAACCTTACTGGTCTTAAATGTCCTCAACGGAAACCCTCTGGTAATAAAACCTTACTGGTCTTAAATGTCCTCAACGGAAACCCTCTGGTAATAAAACCTTACTGGTCTTAAATGTCCTCAACGGAAACCCTCTGGTAATAAAACCTTACTGGTCTTAAATGTCCTCAACGGAAACCCTCTGGTAATAAAACCTTACTGGTCTTAAATGTCCTCAACGGAAACCCTCTGGTAATAAAACCTTACTGGTCTTAAATGTCCTCAACGGAAACCCTCTGGTAATAAAACCTTACTGGTCTTAAATGTCCTCAACGGAAACCCTCTGGTAATAAAACCTTACTGGTCTTAAATGTCCTCAACGGAAACCCTCTGGTAATAAAACCTTACTGGTCTTAAATGTCCTCAACGGAAACCCTCTGGTAATAAAACCTTACTGGTCTTAAATGTCCTCAACGGAAACCCTCTGGTAATAAAACCTTACTGGTCTTAAATGTCCTCAACGGAAACCCTCTGGTAATGAAACCTTACTGGTCTTAAATGTCCTCAACGGAAACCCTCTGGTAATAAAACCTTACTGGTCTTAAATGTCCTCAACGGAAACCCTCTGGTAATAAAACCTTACTGGTCTTAAATGTCCTCAACGGAAACCCTCTGGTAATAAAACCTTACTGGTCTTAAATGTCCTCAACGGAAACCCTCTGGTAATAAAACCTTACTGGTCTTAAATGTCCTCAACGGAAACCCTCTGGTAATAAAACCTTACTGGTCTTAAATGTCCTCAACGGAAACCCTCTGGTAATAAAACCTTACTGGTCTTAAATGTCCTCAACGGAAACCCTCTGGTAATAAAACCTTACTGGTCTTAAATGTCCTCAACGGAAACCCTCTGGTAATAAAACCTTACTGGTCTTAAATGTCCTCAACGGAAACCCTCTGGTAATAAAACCTTACTGGTCTTAAATGTCCTCAACGGAAACCCTCTGGTAATAAAACCTTACTGGTCTTAAATGTCCTCAACGGAAACCCTCTGGTAATGAAACCTTACTGGTCTTAAATGTCCTCAACGGAAACCCTCTGGTAATAAAACCTTACTGGTCTTAAATGTCCTCAACGGAAACCCTCTGGTAATAAAACCTTACTGGTCTTAAATGTCCTCAACGGAAACCCTCTGGTAATAAAACCTTACTGGTCTTAAATGTCCTCAACGGAAACCCTCTGGTAATAAAACCTTACTGGTCTTAAATGTCCTCAACGGAAACCCTCTGGTAATAAAACCTTACTGGTCTTAAATGTCCTCAACGGAAACCCTCTGGTAATAAAACCTTACTGGTCTTAAATGTCCTCAACGGAAACCCTCTGGTAATAAAACCTTACTGGTCTTAAATGTCCTCAACGGAAACCCTCTGGTAATAAAACCTTACTGGTCTTAAATGTCCTCAACGGAAACCCTCTGGTAATAAAACCTTACTGGTCTTAAATGTCCTCAACGGAAACCCTCTGGTAATAAAACCTTACTGGTCTTAAATGTCCTCAACGGAAACCCTCTGGTAATAAAACCTTACTGGTCTTAAATGTCCTCAACGGAAACCCTCTGGTAATAAAACCTTACTGGTCTTAAATGTCCTCAACGGAAACCCTCTGGTAATAAAACCTTACTGGTCTTAAATGTCCTCAACGGAAACCCTCTGGTAATGAAACCTTATTGGTCTTAAATGTCCCGAATGGAAATCCTCTGGTAATTAAACCTTATTCGTCTTAAATGTCCTCAATGGAAACCCTCTGATAATGAAACCTTACTGGTCTTAAATGTCCTCAATGGAAACCCTCTGGTAATAAAACGTTACTGGTCTTAAATGTCCTCAATGGAAACCATCTGATAATGAAACCTTACTGGTCTTAAATGTCCTCAACGGAAATTCTCTGGTAATGAAACCTTACTGGTCTTAAATGTCCCCAACGGAAACGTAAAACCACGTGAAGGTGGTGTCCAACCTTTGGTGCAAAGGAACAAATTATGTTCTTCTGAATATTCAACCTAAAAGTCTAATGCATAATCTAATATCGGGGGTTGGACAAGATTACGAATATGTTTTCCTTGCCCATGTTGTCAACAGATACGTAGCAACCTCCCTGACACGTTTGTAGTCGTACAAACGGACAAAGCTCCTAGCAACCCCATATGGGTCTGTAGAACTTGTACTTGGTGTATAGAACTTGTACTTGGTCTGTAGAACTTGTACTTGGTCTGTAAAACTTGTACTTGGTCTGTAGAACTTGTACTTGGTCTGTAGAACTTGTACTTGGTCTGTAAAACTTGTACTTGGTCTGTAGAACTTGTACTTGGTCTGTAGAACTTGTATGTGAACTGCCTCGTAAAGAACTCAGCTTGTTGGGTAGTGTTGGTAAGGAAACATATAGACATTCAGATTTATTCTCGGGAAAATGTTATCGAAGGATCTTCTGCTTCTTCAGCAAAACATGTTCTAAGTCACTTACCAGGTCAAACACAGTAGCGGCTTCACGTTAGTATAATACAGGTAATGATCTTCTTCACTAACATTATCAGAGTTTTCAGAGTTATCAGAGTAATGTAGTTAGGGTTTACAACCAGCGTGCTTTAAATCTACGCAGCTTTTGTGTAGATGTCTCCATTACCTTGCTTCCACCTGAGATACCGTCTTAGATCGTTGGTAACCTACATATTGGGTTATGCTTTCTGGTAATACTGACCTCGGATTTTGTCTGTGTTATAGCTGCGGAAGTTTATTTCCTATTTCTTATTTCTATTTTATAGGTTTCCTCTACCCTCCCCGTGTTGGATTTTTTCGAACCCAACGCATCAGATCCCGTTCCCTTCAGAAGTAGCCCGGATGGCAATGATAGTGATGAAGATCCGTTCTCGGAGGACGTATTCAGCCAGACGTGGATGAAGAAAAGCAGCTCACCCAAGAGCAAAGCATAAGTTATTTTGTTTGTATATGTTAGTGAACGAGAAAGTCCGTATTGTTGACCGCTGATTAAAACTTCCTTTGTTGTACAGGGTATCTATAATAACGAGCCAGACAGACGGGATCCCGCTTTGATCTCAACGTCCTACAGAGATAATATACATGAGCTTTTATTTACATTTTAATGTAAGTTATCCATTACACATACAACACTTCACAGCTGAACAAAACCTCATATGTAAAAGTAGAAGTATTTATATATATATGTGCTAAAAATGACTTTTAAACGTAACTGAACAATATTTATTCTATTTCCATATGACTATTTATGAGTATATTGTTATTTTTTATGTTTGAAGTCGATCCTTAGTAAAGTAGGATGTGAATAAGCTTAAGTAGTGAACAAATACATTTGTTGTTGAGAGATATGCATACAATAAGTGGAAACAGAGGTGAAGTTGTTTACGACATACTAACTGTGTGTTGGTTGGGGGAAAAGATAAACTGGCTACCAGCCCCTAAGTTTTTATGAAGATTTCTCAACTGCATTTCACTACCAGCTTATCTTTTCCTAGTTTAGAACTTAGGAATCGGACATCAAAGTGATCAAAATTATTGATTCTTCTTCTTCTAAATAAGTCCAGGGGAAGGGGTGCGGGAAGCGGGTTATGAGATAAAGTGAAGTTATACTCATATGGCATGCTGTCAAACGGGAGAGTTTAAGACATATTGACTGAGGTGTGGGGGATTGTACGACGTACAGATCGGGTTAGGGGGGTCTCGACCTAGTGACCGGGGAGAGTTTAAAACATATTGACTGAGGTGTGGGGGATTGTACGACGTACAGATCGGGTTAGGGGGTCTCGACCTAGTGACCGGGGAGAGTTTAAGACATATTGACTGAGTGTGGGGGATTGTACGACGTACAGATCGGGCTAGGGGGTCTCGACCTAGTGACCGGGGAGAGGGGGTGTTTATGTCAGTGGGCGACTGTTCACGACATTCTGTCGGGGGTATGTTTACTATAGGTGCTGTTAGGGGGGTAGTGTGCAATATAGATAGGCTTGACGCAATATTGATAACCAATGCCACAATAACAAGTAAACTGACTAAATATGTATATGTTGTGTTGCAAAGCAGACAATAAATCTGTTTATTTCTGAACAAACCTCGTTGTCGTCGATTGTTTTTGTGATTTCAACATTGCATTATCAGCCATGTACTTTTGAATTAGGCATGTCTGTTACGGAAAATTCCAGATAAACCTCCCTCCGTATCTCATAAAATATAAATGATTTCTCAAAAGTCTTTGTGTAAGTGGGTAAAATATGAACAAATGGGGCGTTTTATAAAAGTACGAGAATAAGACCAGATGTTCTGGAAGGATAAGTGTTATCTGCTTCATTGATGTCACTTGGCATGCAAATAATAATAATAATAATAATAATTCGAGGTTCTTATATACCGCTTTATCACAACCTAGTTCGTAGGTCGTCTCAAAGCGGTTTACAAATTATAGGGCCTTTGCAACCAGCCAATATCTTTCTCAACTCCCTGGGGAGCATACAGTCGGAGCTGCCATTTCGGCGCTAACAGCTAGCATTCAACAATTCTAGCACTGCCCAATCACGTACTAATTTACAGCTGAGTAGACTGAAACAAGTGGAGTAAAGTATCTTGCTCAAAGATACAACACAAATCTAGATCAAATCTTAAGCAATGCTACGTTCTTAAAGTGAGAAAAGGATCGGCGACAACAAAACCAAAAGGTTAACTAATGAGGATATTAAAAACCATTAACATTCATATCTCACACGGAAATAAAATGTTTCCCTATGAGGTCATGATAACGACCAATAAGCTTGCACACATTCTTCAACTTATTTTGTCCTTCAGTAGTCGAGATTTATCACGAAAATCGTGATAATTAGAGCCAGTCATATAATAATGAATCAACTGCAACATATAAACTCCACATGTAAGGGAAGCAGGGATCTTACTATGAAGAAAAGGAAAGTTCAATATTGGAAAATCGAAACCGTCACCTTCCTTTTATAAGATTCATCAATGTATATGTAGAGTTAATGTATAAAACGTTATTTTATTAACACAGTGTACGCATCAAACGAGTCGCAACATTTCAAGACCGACTATCCACTTGTCAAGCTATCTTGAGCCAGCTGGTCCATGTGTCAAGTTATATGAGCTTGACTAAGGGACCAGTCAGTCTTTAAACATTGCGACACGTCTGATATGTACATTGTGAATAGAATAAAGTTTGGATACAAAACTGTCGCGCTTATCCTACAGCTTAGTAGTAAACCTTTCTTGTTGGCAATGTTGTAAGCACAGATCAAGGAATGTAGGAGAGTCTAGAGTTCTTGTTCCTAAGTTCAGGAGAGTATATGCATTTTCGTTTATTTAAAGAAAACACAACGTCAACATATCTGATAATTAAATAGAAGGATTTGGCGTGTGTTTTGTTACAGGTTCTGATGAGCTCTTCAATAACTCATGCTTCGCAGGAAAACAAACAAACAAGAACAAACAAAACTTAAAACAAAAACATGTCGGCCAGAAGAGGAGTACAGATTGTGAACGCTTCGAGTCTGCTGAAACATTGCCAGTGAACTCAACAAAGATATAGTCAACCATATCAACTAATCATTTTCAGGATCTAATTTTCAGTATATTTCATCCGGGTCTTTGTCGTGTTTGCCACAAAATATACTCCAAAACAGTTTATAAGTATATTTTTATGTCGGCGTTCACTTTTGTTTAAAAAGAAAGCTTTTGTTATCAGAGAAGGAAGGCGATGTAACGAAGGATGCTAAAATTGACCGGACGATCTTTTGAGTACTTCAAAATCCATATTTCATTCATTACTGGTCTTGATGAGTAAAATGTCAAAATACGACTCTCATCTTGATTATATTGAACTAAGAATAGTTTTTTGTAATGAAAGAGGTTGAGAAAATTACTTGGTTGATCAACTAGACCGCCAGCGATAAAACGCAGTTAATAAGGATTCCTGCAAAGTTTCGGAATCCAAGACAAACGAGGCAAGTCCATATTTTGATCATTTACTGACATCTGTAATGATTGTTATACAGAAGCACAACTAGCTAGTATTATTGAAAAGTGTATTAGTAGGGTTTCGTTGATTATCAATCAAGCCAACAAGCAATATATTTTATGTGTAAAAAGGAAGTGTCTATGTTCGTATATTGCGTTAAGCTGTTAAGTTTCGCTGATTTGTGGTTCATATCGAAGTAAGGGAAGGACCTAACTGCACATTCAGTTTGTTGATAAAAACACACAAACAAATCATAAGTGATTATTTTGCAGCATGTTTTTTTTTTTTTTTTTACTTAATATGTTATCATTTGGATATTTTCACCTTCTATATTTTTTCAAACGCATTGGACTTTGACCTTGTCTTTTGTTTAGTTACGTTGGCTAGCAAGTTTTCGATAAGACAAATTGAAGTTGTGCGATTTTGTTTGGACAAAATTGTACTTGTACAAATTTGTATGCAAATGATTTAGTTCGCGCAAGGTTGACCTTGTACCATTTTGTATGGCCACGTTTAACTGATCATGTTAGGACATAGTTAACCCGATACTTTCCTGTTTTGAACAGTTTCCTTGTTCGGTGAATGGGTGTTGTATGACCTAATTAAACCAAAGTGTTGCTAAGTAACACTAGAATGCTCAGTTGAGTGACAGTGGGTGGATGTGTGGTATTATCTGGCCCTTTAAGTTCCTAAACCAAGATATTATCAAAACCTCTCACTTCCATTCGGAGTACCATTACATCAGGTTTAAACAGTATTCTCAAGATTTTTTTTATGAAGCTGAATTTATTGATGAGCTTTTCAGAACTGGTAAAAAATACTAGCCCTACCTTCAATTCTATATTCAGATAATTATATTGATATGTGCGGCCTTTGAATAACCGAGTTTTATTGATAGCACCGATCGTATATATACCCCCCTGAGCCTGACATCAAGGATACTACAGCTCTACTTACAACAAAACTAACGGGGACAGATTACTACTACCGATCGTGAACTTTCCCTTTCCTGATAGTAACATCCCCGCTCCCGCTGCTTTCATGTTTGCATGTCGATGTTGATTTGGTATTGAAGGATCTTACTCCGAATATTTTGACTTCCGTGATTAATGTCCAATGCTGACGGACAAACTTACAGCACAGGTCTGTAGACAAGTGTTATGGACACCATCAGGATCTCATTAGGGAATATGCTATTTCTTTTTGTGACCCGACATTCCTTGGATTTTAACCTAGATTCATATGGCTGGTTTCATCGGTGAAGCAGAAGTTTACCGTTCTGGAACACCTGGTCTTATTCTGGTCTTTATTATTTTTTCAAGAGTCTCCATGTAAACCTTTCCTCTCTTCACATTTTGCCCTAGTTTTATCGATTTTAAATTGGATTTATAGTTTTGTTGAAACTTCGGTATTCTCTTGGGTTTTTTTGGTACGCTGGAGTGCATCGTACTTCATTACATAAACGTCTGTTTTGATGAACCACAACGTAAATTCAGCGCTTTTCCTGTTCTATACCATTTAATTTTACTCATAAAATAGCTGGAGGAAACAAAATACACAAACATCTCTAATATTTTATGTACATATTTATTCGCAGTTTTATTTTCAATTTACTTTTTAAACAAATTTTACTTCAGCAATAAAATAATACAAAACATGATTGTAAAACCGGTTTGGAAAAAAATAAAATGCTATTTTCAGTAAGTATACTATAACAATTTTAGCACTTAAACAAGGAAGTATACTGTGGGCAAAAGACCATAATAAAACAGCAATGATGGTGTAAATTAGTTACTGATAAAAACATGCAATACTGGTGCTGTATTCAATTCAACATAGACTCTTTGTAATCTGCAGTCATTAAAAATGGTCTAATATAATTAAATCTGATAACATTGTGTACAGAAAACAGGAATAAGACCAATATAACCAGCACATTACCATACCAGAAGTTAAGTCTTTAATAAGACATAAACCAACAGATCCTAGAGGGATTGTGGTGCCCGCCTTTAATAAATCAGGGAATAATCATGGTATTTCTTTTCTTTTCATTTCTCTGATATTTTACCAAACAAGCATACATATAATTATGTACTACCACAGAAGGATATCAGTATTCCGTCTTTTCGTATTGAAGAGTTATCTGCTCTTGTGAGCAGATATTGATTGTTACATCATTTGTTTGTGAGGGTAACATCATCAATTTTTGAGAAAACGACTAATCTTCTCACACAAACAAATGACTTTACAATTAATACCTGCTCACAAGAGAAGATAACTCTGCAATAAGCAAAGACGGAATAGAAAGATACATCAGAGGACAGAGGAGATCAAACAAATTTTCATCATCACCCAATGGACCCTTTAGCACTTTATATGGAATATCAATACAAAATCCAATATGGCCTGGAGGCTGTTTATTTTTTTTCGAATCTGACAACTTTACAAATTTAAAACACAATTATACAATGACATGATACTTAAGATAAAGGGGATCATCTAAATTACACCTTGACCCTTTACAAGCAGACCAGACCTTAAGTGACTGGAACTTCCAACTACCTGATGAATGTAAACAAATAACACAAAATAGCAGGTATGAAGAAATTGAAATTTTCAGATGTTGCCTTTCAATCTGTAACTGAACTGACAGTGTGTATCACTATAATGAAAGAGTTCTAATGAGGGGAGGCAACTCAGATAGATAAGAATGACATACATGTGAAACTTGCCTAAACCCTTTCACCACTGTAGATCATAATGGACCCATCCATATCAATGCATGGTAGAGTCTACTAAAGTTACATAGGGGTGAAAGGGTTAATAAAGAGCATATCTGATCAAAGGTACCATATATAGGAGGAGAGAGGAGATTGTAAGTATCATGCAGAGTACAGTCTGGGTAACAAGAGGATAAGGAAATACAAATAAAACACAAGCTTTACAAGTCCTGTATATCCTGACTGTCAATTTTACATTCACTATAAATGTCAATTTCATAGGAAAATTCTAAATAACTGAAATAAAAAAATTGTCAACCTGGTCATCTTACGTTGGAATGTTTTAATGTACTAAACAAACTGAGCACTTGATCATATAAGAGTTTGACTCCTTGAAACAGACATTAGCGCTGAAGGTCAGGGTTAGGACAATACAAATCTAAATATCTATACTATAACTTTAATTTGTAAATTCTCTTTAAATCATTTGAATAGAATCACATTAATGTATAAACAATGAAATAAAGATACAAAACTTGTCAACATTTCTAGGACACTAACAGTATAACTAGAAATAAAACTATCAATGTACGATCAACACTTCAATGTTTGTGTCACGTCCCCTAACAGTATTTACAGCCCGACCAGTTACACACAGACTTAAGTCTCTGGTGGACTACCTACCATTCTACCTCTCTTGAATCTATAGCTCACATTTCAATATATATCTCGCTGTTCTTTTTACCTCCCTTTAATCAAAGGTTCTCATTTCCATTTACAGCACACTGTTCGTTTTACCTTCCTTTAATCAAAGATTCACATTTCAATAGACAATCTCTCAGTTCCATTTACCTCCCTTTGACCAAAGGTTCACATTTTAATAGACCGTCGATGTGTTTTGACCTCCATTTTATCAAGTGTTTGCATTTCAATAAACAGCGGACTGTTCTCTCTCCTTGCCTGCTTCAACATGATGTTTTACATCGTTAGAGATGTGTGTATTGTTTGTAGCCCCTCCAGGTTGTCCTCCATCTTGTTCTGTGTAGGACATGTCGGAGGCTAGGTCAATACTGTTGTCCTCACTGGTGATACTGGCATTGTCACTGTTTACGTCCACCTCCAGGAAGCTCTGTATGTCGGCCATCTGGCTGGAATCCTGAGGAAGGGAGGGGTATTGTATCAAACAGGAACTACTACAGTCAGTTAAAATATCAAACATCTCTCCAAGTCTACACTACATACAAGTCTTTACAACATTCCTACCCCATATCAACCCAGGACCACCACATTAGCCTAAGGGGCTAAGGCCTGAGGGCTGATATGTATACCGGTCCAGGGTCAAATTGACCTTTTTTGTCATATACTTTTATTTTAACAAAATGCAGTAGAACCAGGATTGGGATAAAGATAGGGCCTCCGCTAGGGCTCGAACCCCGACCCTTGGCTATCCAGCCCTATGCTTTATCCCTGAGCTAAAGGGAAATTCCCTACATCTGACGCTTGTAAGACAACCTAATCAGTGCACATCTTTTACAAAAACATTAAAAATATCAGCAATAACACAAGATTTTGATTGACTATACATGTTTGTCAAATCAAGTGTAACTGAGCTTTGACTTGAAATGTGCTGAATCTGAGATATACTGTACATATAGAAATTATAAATACCTGAGCAAAATGTACTCTCATGTGTTCCTTGATGTGATATTTCTTGGCAAATGACTTGCCACATACTGGACAGAGAAATGGTTTCCCCCCGGGGTGGGGACGCAAGTGGGCCTTACGGTTCTCCTTCCCTGATTCACAAAAACAAACATTTGTCATGTACAACTCACATAATCAAACAATATACAGACCTGTATGATACAGTGTGACATACAAACCTGTATGATACAGTGTGACATACAGACCTGTATGATAAAGTGTGACATACAGACCTGTATGATACAGTGTGACATACAAACCTGTATGATACAGTGTGACATACAGACCTGTATGATACAGTGTGACATACAGACCTGTATGATACAGTGTGACATACAAACCTGTATGATACAGTGTGACATACAGACCTGTATGATACAGTGTGACATACAGACCTGTATGATACAGTGTGACATACAAACCTGTATGATACAGTGTGACATACAGACCTGTATGATACAGTGTGACATACAGACCTGTATGATATAGTGTGACATACAAACCTGTATGATACAGTGTGACATACAAACCTGTATGATACAGTGTGATATACAAACCTGTATGATACAGTGTGATATACAAACCTGTATGATACAGTGTGACATACAAACCTGTATGATACAGTGTGACATACAGACCTGTATGATACAGTGTGACATACAGACCTGTATGATATAGTGTGACATACAAACCTGTATGATACAGTGTGACATACAAACCTGTATGATACAGTGTGATATACAAACCTGTATGATACAGTGTGATATACAAACCTGTATGATACAGTGTGACATACAAACCTGTATGATACAGTGTGACATACAGACCTGTATGATACAGTGTGACATACAGACCTGTATGATATAGTGTGACATACAAACCTGTATGATACAGTGTGACATACAAACCTGTATGATACAGTGTGACATACAAACCTGTATGATACAGTGTGACATACAGACCTGTATGATACAGTGTGACATACAGACCTGTATGATACAGTGTGACATACAAACCTGTATGATACAGTGTGACATACAAACCTGTATGATACAGTGTGACATACAGACCTGTATGATACAGTGTGACATACAGACCTGTATGATACAGTGTGACATACAAACCTGTATGATACAGTGTGACATACAAACCTGTATGATACAGTGTGACATACAGACCTGTATGATACAGTGTGACATACAGACCTGTATGATACAGTGTGACATACAAACCTGTATGATACAGTGTGATATACAAACCTGTATGATACAGTGTGACATACAAACCTGTATGATACAGTGTGACATACAAACCTGTATGATACAGTGTGACATACAGACCTGTATGATACAGTGTGACATACAGACATGTATGATATAGTGCGACATACAAACCTGTATGATACAGTGTGACATACAAACCTGTATGATACAGTGTGACATACAGACCTGTATGATACAGTGTGATATACAAACCTGTATGATATACATTGCCATACAAGTCTATATAGTATTCTGTAGCATACAAGCCCTTAAGCTACACTGATTCCTTGTATACCTGATCTTCTCCTCGGGTATATCAGTATACAGGTTGATGTAAATACTTTACTATGGAGTTTACTCTTACAAATCAACAATTATCCTTCAGATTTAAGTAATATAACGGTGAAAAATTAACATAAATATATTTCCTTCACAAGTTTATAGTATGCAGTTCTACCTGCCTCTGACTTCTGATTCTGACTTACCTAGTCTGTGTATCCTCATGTGGCCCTGTAGGTTACTCAGACAGGGGAACTCCTTGTCACACTCTGGACACCTGTACGTTTGTTTGTCGAGTTCCGAGTGGCTATGACTGGAGAAGAAGTGGCCCTGTAGAGCCCCCATACTGTGGAATGCCTCCGGACATATATTACACTTGAAGTTGTTTTCATTCCGTTCGTGGATCTTCCTGTGGTTGTTGAGATTGACAGTGCTAGTAAATGTCTTGTTACACTCCGTACAGGTGAGATCTGACGTGTTGAGGGCCAGAGAGTTTTCTCCTACCGTATGCATGAATGCATGATTTTCCAGCTCAGCACTGAAGAAGAACTTCTGGTTGCACTGGCTACATCCGTAGCGCCGAGCACCAGGTCCGTGCTCTACCGCATGAGTTTGGATCTCGGCAGAACTGGCAAATATCTTACAACAAACACTACATCTGAATTCGGAGCTCCTGTACGTGTGGTCTATAAGGTGGCACTGTAACTTGGCTGGTGACTCAAAGGTCCTTGAGCAGAGTTTACAATCATGAACATTGCCCTCTGTCATCATGTGTGTGGCCACATGTAACTGAATCTCGTACTCGCTACTAAACGACTCCTGACACTTTATACACTGGTAACTTTTCTTGTGTGTGCCTATATGTGTGTCCAGCTCGCCGTTGGTGGGGAAACTTGCTCCACACTCAGAACATATGTACTCGGAGTGTTCTCCATGGTAACAAGGTTTACAAACATAGTAGGTTCTACCACTGCTGTTCATCTTGGACACCAGGTTTTCTTTGGAGTTGAATGTTTTGAGACAGACACAACATGTGTAAAAGCTGGACTTGACCTGGAAATGGTGTTTACCGTGCATCTGCAGCTCCACCATCGAAGCCAGTGTCTGTCGGCATATCAGGCACTGCATGAAAGTACCCTGGAAGCCATGCTCCTGTGTATGCACGTAGAACTGGTCCTCGTTTTTGAGGGGGATCTTGCAAAGCACACAGTTATTGCCCTGCACGATCTTGCAGTGGGTGAGTTTGTGTTCTGCAAGGATACTAGTGGTGGGGAACACCTGGTCACAAATGTTACACTTCTGGCTACCATTGTTCTGGTGAATCTTCATGTGTTTGTCCAGGTCACCTCTGCTCTTGAAAGTTTGACTGCAATACATACATGCTAAGCTAAGCTTTTCGCTGATGACTACAACAGGCAGTGACATTGACTTGGAGGTAACAGGAGAATGATTGTTAACAGCAGGAGGCATTGTTGTGTCTGTCTGTAGCCGTTCCTGTAAAGTCATGGTCGCTGATGTGATGGATGCTAGTGACGCCATGGAAACAGGAGGAGCCACAGATTCCATAGAAGCTGCAGGCATAGCCAGCTTTCTGATTGGCTGATGGTCTGGCTCATGTTTCATGGCTGAAATCTGTTCTGGACTGACAGAGGCACTAGATGTACTTGACTTTTTAGCCAAGAGTCCGTGATCTACAGCCTTGTGGGCCTGTAACAAAGTCTGCTGCTCAAACTTCATATCGCAGATGTTACAAGTGTGTAACAGCTCCGAGCTCTTCCAGATCCCTGGCCCATTTAGGTTCTTAGGGGAGTATCTGGGGCTGGGGTGGGGAGGTGTCCTGTCGTTAAAACTTGGCGTATCTATGTCCCGCTCCACCTTGATTTTTACTGGAGACATTTGTGGAGGAGGGGGAAGGGACTTGTCAGTAGGATTCCCGTGGGCATTCTGCATGTGCTTGTCTAGGAGGTACTCCACATGGAAAGACTCATCACACATGGGGCACCTGAAAGGTTTGTTGTGAGTCGTCAGATGACATTGTAGGTCCATCTCTGATGAGAAACTCTCCTTACAGAACAGACACCTGTAACATGCAGTAGGTAAATATAGGCATTGAATAAATGTCTTCTGTTTGAAAAAGCAAGTAAGAAGTTTGCATACCGGTAATTTAAGCTAATCACACCATTGCCATAGTATAACTATTTGCACATACTGTCCAGGCATAAAAACAATAATGTATTTACATATCATCAGACATATATCAAGAACTCAGATTAACATGTTTACCTGTATAATTTGATGGCATTTATATACACCTGTACGGTTTGATGTTATAGACATGTACACCTTAACAACTTACCTGTACAGTTTGATGTTATAGACATGTACACCTTTACAACTTACCTGTATAGTTTGAGCTACAGACATGTACACCTTTACAACTTACCTGTATGGTTTGATGTTATAGACATGTACACCTTTACAACTTACCTGTACAGTTTGATGTTATAGACATGTACACCTTAACAACTTACCTGTACAGTTTGATGTTAAAGACATGCCCACCTTTACAACTTACCTGTACGGTTTGATGTTATAGACATGTACACCTTTACAACTTATCTGTATAGTTTGAGCTACAGACATGTACACCTTTACAACTTACCTGTACAGTTTGATGTTAAAGACATGCTCACCTTTACAACTTTCCTGTACGGTTTGATGTTATAGACATGCACACCTTTACAACTTACCTGTACGGTTTGGCGACATGTAGATGGTTCACTCTAACATGAACCTGCCACTCCATCTCCGACCTGAACACGGAGTCACACTTGGTACATTTGTACAGCTTACATTCGTTGCTGTGTTTGATGGCAAAGTGAACCTGTACGTTGACTTTGGAGTCGAAGATCTCCTTACACAGTGAACACCTACAACAAAGCAACATCATATCGTCAGATATAGCTCACACCTACAACACATCAATGACACACACACAGATAGCATATCCACCTTACATCTTCATTGTTTAGAATTTGTTTCAAATAAGTCAGAATAGTTTTATGGATGTGCATTACATTTTCTGTAAAAACCAGCAAGAGTTATCTCTCTTATTCAGCAAATGCATTCTCAGATGGCAACCTATTAAGATCCTAAATATGCTAATTATAAATAAAAGTATAAAAGTCAAGATTCAGCAAAAAGCATACAATTATGATAAATTATGATTTAAATCTACATAGACATTATTCAGATCCATTCAATAAAGAACAAAAAGACATTGTGACACAACAGCTGATGATATTTCACACTTTGAAAAAAACCCACAAAAAAACCAAAAAAACTTATCATCAAAGGTGATGACCTTGTACCATTGATAAAGTCAAGGGTTTTTTTGTAACTCCATTTTCCCTACATACCCTTGTAGCTTACCTGTCCAGGTGGTGAGCATGTATACCCTACATACCCTAGTAACTTACCTGTACAGGTGGTGAGCATGTATATCCATCAGGTGTTTCTGGAGTTCGTCTGGTTTGGAGAAGAACTTGACACAGCTGGTGCAGCCGTACTCAGTAGTCATGCTGAGGTAGTGTGTGGAGCTGTGCTTCTCCAGCTGGTCCTCAGTGGGGAACTGCTGCTTACACAGCTTACAGCAGTACTGTCCACCAGCACTGCTCTCCAGGTGGTGCTTGATGTGGGCCTGGAAGTTCTTCCTGTCGTGGAATGTGGCGTTACAGTGGTCACAGGTGATCTGTTCCTGGAACGGTGAGGATGTGGGCATCCTCTCTTTATGGGGGTCTGGGGTAGAAGTGAAGTTGAGCTGCATGTTGATACCTCGTCTGTTAAATGATTTGTCATTGTCTCTCTTCTGGTGGTATCCCCCAACTGATCCGTGATTCAGCAGTGAGGAGCGGCGTTTGTTGGTGGCACTCGAGTGAGGCTTGGTGTCTGTATACTTGGGGTCTGACTTCGGTGACGAGTGGTGCATCATAGCCATGTGTTCCTGAAGTGCACCTGCTGACTGGAATGCCATGGAACACATGATACAGTAGAGAGAATCCCGAGACTCACTCCTCTCCCGACGTTCGTAGTAGTGGATTAGCTTCTTGTGTTGTTGGAGGTTCTCTATGCTGGAGAACTGACGAGAGCAGTGGGTACATGGGTACTTGATGTCCATGCAGGGCTGGTTCTGGTGCACCGCCCGCATGTGTTCGTGCAGGCTGTATAGGTTCTGGTAGGGGGCGTTACAGTAGTTACAGGTGTAGACCTCTGTGGGTTTTACTGAGTGTACACTCTGCATGTGTATTTCCAGAATCTCTAGGGAATCGTAATCACTACTGAAGCAATAAGGACATACTAACATCTCACTGACCAAGGGCTGGCCCCCAAGGGAGTGGGTGAGGCTTGGTGTGGCTCCAGTGTTGGAGCCTGTGAGGTCATGGTCATCAGTGGGTATACGGTCAACAGCCAACAGGTCGTGGCTGGCCATGTGGTGTACCAGGTCATCAGTGTTCAGACATGACTTCTGACAAATGGGACAATTGGTCAGCTGGTCGGCAATGTGCACCTGATCCACGTGGAGCTTGAGAGCTTCCTGGCTAGGACACATGTCTCCACAGTATGAACACTGGACCGAGGACTTCCCTGGGACATTCTCCCCGTGGTGGATCAGAATGTGACTCTGTAACTCTGCCAGGGAGGTAAACATATCCTTACAGTGCTGGCACTGCAGATCAGGGCTTGATTCTCTCTCCTTCTTATGGGTCATTATATGAGAGGTCAAGGCTGCTGGAGTTTGGTAACCACGGTTACATATGGTACACTGGAATGGTTTCCCATTCTCATGGGTTTTAAGGTGGCTCTTCAAGTGGTCACTCCTACAAAGCAAAACAAACAGAAAATCAATCAGTTAAATTTGTTCTGATAATATATTACCAATAAAGAAAACTAAACACTAGGCGTTTTAGTTTCATGAAAAGGGCAGCATTGTACAGGACATGCACCATTCATAACACTGCTATTTATTAGGTCATAGTTACAACCAAAATTCATGTCAATTGATAAATCACAATCTAGACAAATGCAGTGTTCTCACTAAGTTCTGAAGTAGGTGGTGGACTGAATATTTACACGGTATAATGTTGACCTATACATATTATGGAAAATATGCTGGTCCAAAGTTGATGAACAGCAGGCTACTTTTAATTTGCCGGCATCCAGCATTTAATGAGAACAACGAAATGTTGTGGTGAATCTCTTATTTACAGATAAATAAATTACAGGTATGATGTTACATTGATTGTTTATAAAAATGTCTTTTTGACATGAATTTTCCTGCTTTTCCCATATCAATTTGTATACTGTTTGACAACATTCTATAAATAGTAAAAGTGACCTTAACCTTGACCTTAACCTTGCCCCAAACTCCTCCTTTCCCCCAATAAAATGTAAATAAGGATTCATATAAAAGGTTGTAAATATTCCTCTTGTGAAATGGTATCTAGTGGTTAGACAGTGTCTGAGTAACCTTAACTATCCTATCCAACTAGGCTGCTAATGTGACTACCATTAAAATTTGTTGTTTTGATGTTTTACAGTGATTACCTCCCCTTTGTTAAAATTGTATTATTTTTACTGTGATTAGACCACACGTAACTATGACACATATTTTATGTAGATCTGATGCTTAAGCTCTAATTACTTCGTGGAAGCTATCGGAGGATGATTTACCTAGCAAAGGCTGAGTCACACTGAGAACACTTGTATTTCTTGTCCCCTGTGTGTAGCTTCACGTGACGGTCGCGGCTCCGTTTGTGTCGGAACAGACGGCTACAGAACGCACACTTGAATGGCAACTGGTCACTGTGTACCTGCAATATACAAATACAGGCTAGAGATGGCCTTCATACAAAAACAGGCTAGAGATGGCCTTCATACAAACACAGGCTAGAGATGACCTTCATACAATCACAGGCTATAGATGGTCATCATTGTTATTTTGGCACAAGGTCTTTAGCAAATATTGCATGACACACAGCCTAGTGATACTACATATAGCCAACCTGTGACCTGGGGATCTGTTTGGCCTGAAAGGGTGTTAGCCATTAAAGTTTGGTCTAGGTCTCATGTATTGTTCAAGAAAGAGAATCTGGAATACAACACTTTCCTAAAATTTCACTAAAGACTATAAGTAGCCACGGTCACCTTGACCTTTAACCTAGTTACCCCTAATTCTGTAGGCTTCTTCCCCTCCCGTGGGGCATCACTCACTCAAACAGGGCTTTCTTAGAATTAATTGCTCTGAAGTTCCAAGAACTGCAGAAACCATTTCTTCCATTGACAAAGACACAGACTTACAAAGCACAAATGTAGGCCTCCCTGTATGGAGGGAGGGGGGCAGGGAGTGGGCAGGGAGGAAGACAAACAGTGATGCTCTGAGTTTGCCATTTCTCAGATTTTTTTGCGTAATAAACATTTAGAGAGAAGGAAACCTATTAAATTTCAAATGGCCTGAAGTTTTCAGCAAGCTCAGGTAAATCAAAGACAATTTTCCAAGAAGAATGTCCCTGTCAGTGTCAGGTTTATTAAGCAACTTAGTTCCTGTTTGTTGAGATTAAAGTAAGACAGGTACCGCTACAAAAAGCAGCGCAGTGAGTGCTTTGTGCATAAAACGACAATAGTTATCAGACATAAAGGTACAGCTTGTAGGAGCTTGAGTGTCGTGCGATCACTACCCTGATCTGGAGTGGTGCTTTGTCAGCGCGGCTAGGTTACAGCCTTATTTGCAGCACCTTCGCATTGAACAGGGGAGTACTTAGGGACTTGGGACAAAAGTCGAGGAGACATGCCACGCATTACAGCTCCCTGTACACCACTAACTACTGCATTACGTCCTCAATGTACGACACCTGTGATCATAGCCGGTACGTAAAACATAACAAATCCTAAAGTAGAATCAGTAACAAAGGTCACAGGTAAATTCTACATAGTTATTGTTGTTAGGTATCATTGCTGTAATTCTAAAACAGATTATGTACAGCGCTGTCGATGTTACAGAAATATGTCTTTTATAATACAGTGTACCACCACACCAATCTTACAGAACTAAATCTGTATTATACAAAATTAATGTACCACACTGATCTCACAGAATTAAATAGCTATGTATCATACATTAGTAACAGGGGGGTGGAGACCCAACATCCCTGTAAGGAAGTCAGTTCCATAATGGCGGTAGGGATCCTTGGGGGATACCTAACAACAGGGGGGTAGAAACCCAACGTCCCTACAAGGAAGTCAGTTCCATAGTGGCGGTAGGGATCCTGGGGGGATACCTAACAACAGGGGGGTGGAGACCCAACATCCCTGAAAGTCTGTTTCATAGTGGCGGTGGGGATCCTGGGGGGATATCTAATAACAGGGGGTGGAGACCCAACATCCCTGAAAGGAAGTCAGTTCCATAGTGGCGGTAGGGATCCTTGGGGGATACCTAACAACAGGGGGGTAGAGACCCAACATCCCTGCAAGGAAGTCAGTTTCATAGTGGCGGTGGGGATCCTGGGGGGATACCTCACAACAGGGGGGTGGAGACCCAACATCCCTGAAAGGAAGTCGGTTCCATAGTGGCGGTAGGGATCCTTGGGGGAAAACTAACAACAGGGGGGTAGAGACCCAACATCCCTGCAAGGGAGTCAGTTTCATAGTGGCGGTGGGGATCCTGGGGGGATACCTCACAACAGGGGGGTGGAGACCCAACATCCCTGCAAGGAAGTCATTTTCATAGTGGCGGTGGGGATCCTGGGGGGATATCTAATAACAGGGGGGGGAGACCCAACATCCCTGAAAGGAAGTCAGTTTCATAGTGGCGGTAGGGATCCTGGGGGGATACCTAACAACGGGGGGGTGGAGACCCAACCTCCCTGAAAGGAAGTCAGTTCCATAGTGGCGGGAGGGATCCTGGGGGGATACCTAACAACAGGGGGATGGAGACCCAACATCCCTGAAAGGAAGTCAGTTCCAGAGGGGGGGTGGGGATCCTGGGGGGATACCTAACAACAGGGGGGTAGAGACCCAACATCCCTGCAAGGGAGTCAGTTTCATAGTGGCGGTGGGGATCCTGGGGGGGTACCTAACAACAGGGGGGGGGAGACCCAACATCCCTGCGAGGAAGTCAGTTCCATAGTGGCGGTAGGGGTCCTTGGGGGATACCTAACAACAGGGGGGTAGAGACCCAACATCCCTGCAAGGAAGTCAGTTCCATAGTGGCGGTGGGGATCCTTGGGGGATACCTAACAACAGGGGGGTGGAGACCCAACATCCCTGTAAGGAAGTCAGTTCCATAATGGCGGTAGGGATCCTGGGGGGATACCTAACGACAGGGGGGTGGAGACCCAACGTCCCTGCAAGGAAGTCTGTTTCATAGTGGCGGTAGGGATCCTGGGGGGATCCCTAACAACAGGGGGGTGGAGACCCAACGTCCCTGCAAGGAAGTCTGTTTCATAGTGGCGGTAGGGATCCTGGGGGGATACCTAACAACAGGGGGGTGGAGACCCAACGTCCCTGCAAGGAAGTCAGTTCCATAGTGGCGGTAGGGATCCTGGGGTGGATACCTTAATGGTATTCAACAGTGCTCATCAGGGAAAGCAGAGCAAATGAAAAGAGAAATGATGAGCAACAACACCACTGGATCCGGTACAAAATGTCTTGTTTGATTTACATCCTAAGTGCTGACATGTTTCGACCAAACGGAGGCCATCTTTAGAGCACGCGCTCATCATTTCTATTTTCATTTGTATATTACATNGGGGTGTATGAGACGATGCGCTTACTTTACAATACAACATATACCAACTGACTTATCCTACAATACATGTCAAAAAACACTTTCTACTTCCAGAAATCAATTCTGTGGTTCGTTATCCAACCATTTGGTGAGTTTTTTCATTACTCGCAGTAAAACATATTTAATATCCAGTAACAAAGTAGGGATGTTTGTGATTGGAAAATTATATGAAGTTCTCATCAGAATATTCGAACAGTCGATAAGTGAAGTTCATCTATATAAGAAATAGCAGCTTGTGTAACTGATCATGTTTAATTTGTACGTATCACAATAAGACAATACTCTGTATATAGACAATACATGTGACTGTCGTAAAGGTCACATCAGCGCCACTTTCAGTAGACCCTTGGGGGTTAAGACTCAACAATATTAGCTGTGATTCTTGATGAGCTGGAAAGGACATGCCTATTTAACATGTGTTTTGGCCTTCCAAATTAAGGGGGAAATTTATTTCACTTCTGAAATTTCTAAATGCTGAGGTCAACTAAATATAAACGCCATGATACCTTTATATTGATATCCAAAATTAAATTTGACTCATGGGTCTGAAAAGACATGTCAATCAATGACAGGAGTTTTGATTCTCCAAATTTAAGTGAAAATGTGATTTGACCTCTGAAATTGCTAAGAGTCAACTGAAGGCCTGATTACAATATATAAACAATGAAAGCTGAATCAATAGTGAAGTAGAGAATCACAATTTTTGTCTTATGTTAATTATAGCCTACCTGTTCATGTATTTTCAGATAGCTGAGCTTGGGGAAGGCCTTCTCACAGAACTGACAGCCGTAAGGGTTAACGTCAGACACGCCAACCCCCGAGGGGACCTGGTCAGGGGTCATGTTCTCCGAGGCAGGTGACAGGGGGCAGTCGAGGGCAGACAGTGGGCTGTCCCCTAGTGACTCGGAGGACAGCGGGGACTCCGGGGGACCCATGTTAACTGCCAAGTTGTCTATTGTCCACGGCTGATTCTCGCCCTCAAACTCTGAAATAACAACAAATAAAATTGAATTAAGTAAATAACCTACTAGAAGGAACATAGATCCAAAACTTTCCCTGTCAATAGTAAAATAATCATGAAAGGAATACACAAGCTAAGGGAGTCACTTCAATCAATATAGTGTTTCTTTCCAATTCCTACTTGAACCTGAACTCTTTCTGTACTGCTATTCCACTCCGGTATCCGTACCAAATGTCATCACTAAGCTCACTCCCGCACATCTAACAAAATGTCAGGTTTTCAATGGGCTTTTTAGACGAGATGTAACTTTTGCAAAAAATACACAGGTAACCATGAAGCAACGTTGCTATTGTTTTACAGAATTGTGTTTCCCTTGTGTGTGCAATCTACACAAATTTGCTCTTGGAGTTAGTTAAACCATGGTATATCGGAGCCATTTCTCACTTTGTGTTTATTTTTCAAATCTAAACAAGTTTCAGTACAATGATGTCAAGAAAGCAAAGACCCTTGGGGCATGTATTGCTCACAGGTTAAATAATGTAGAAAGAAATAAAGGTATTGGTAAACCAACACAGCTATAAGGTAAGGAGATCCACCGTCCTGTGGGTAAAGGTAGGTTTTAATTGGTTTACGTGTTCCTTCACGGCATCTTTGGTGTTGACGCTCCATGACTTACCCAGATAATGGTAAGGGTAAAAGATGTTGCTGAAATGCTTGACAAGAAAACTTCAAAAGTTTTAACACATCTGACTTTTGTGACCTTGACTATTAGTCCCTTAATTGGACAATCATGATAGCCATTACACAGCATTTAACGCTCCAGGCCATGCAATTTTTACTCTTGGCAATGTGGTCATTTAGATAGTAGTTGTTAAATTTCATAACAAATTTGGCTCATGTAACCTTGTACAAGTTAAGCCAGGTCAAAGTAATTTACTGAAGACAAAGTTGAACAGTCATTCAACCAAGAAAGGAGGCCCTTCAAGTGTATAGAAGTACACAGACCAATTTTCGTTTCTCAGGTTTACATGAAAAGATCACATCTTTAATTTTCATTTTTGATGTGTATATAATTTATAACAATACATACAGATACAGATCGAAATTCTTTATACTACTCTCCCACAATATCATTGATTAATTGCAAATCTCATTTTAAGATATCCTTAGTATGTCATGTTCTATGTTTCTATTTAACATCTGAAATTCAAACTTTTGATAAAGAATGAAAAACATTTATCATGCATTTAAAAAAAAAAAAATCAGCTTCTATTTCAGTGGTGTCAGTTGCTACTGTCAGTAAAAGACCAAGAGTGATTTTAGTTGAGATGTTCCTCTGTTATGTATAATCCATCAGTTCGTTCCAAACCAATTCCTTCAGTAAACTGTCAGTCTAACTGAGGCAAATGCCTTCACCAAGAACCATTTGTCATTTAATCCACCCTAAACCTATTTGTTTCTGAAATAAAATTCCAATTCACAAAAAAAGCCCATTTAAACTTGAAGAATCTGCCTGTTTCAAAATAGCCGAGCGCACCTGAAGGATAACGAGCAATTGAAGGGTTATTGTGCTTGCTACACAAGGTGATGTCACACACCTAGTTAACCTTAAAACATGCATCTGGTTTTTATCCCATAACAATGAGCCCCCTCATAAAACAACACTGGCATGTACATAATACACAGTGAAGAAATAAAGCTAACCCAGCACATCTTTATGAGTAATTAACAATCCCATTAAACAAACACATGTACAGTTTGTCATTTGAATAAGGGAATAAAATTTAATCGCCACTTGGTAGAGTAATAACTAAGTGATAATTCAGATAAATTTTCTTTAACAAAAAAATAAATAAATAAGGCATTGACAGCTATATCTACTCACTAACAAAATAATGGCAAAACATATCAAAAAATGATATATAAATAAAACAATGAAACAATGCTGTTTATTGTTGTAAGACTAATCAAGTCAAATCAAGAGCTTATGAATTATGACCCCTGTTAAACAGGAAGTTGAGAGACAAACCCTGGTAAAAACAGTATAAAGACAATCGCTGAAGTTGACAGACAACCCCTGGAGAAAGTAGACTACCCCTGGTAAACAGGAAGTTGAGAAACAAACCCCGGTAACAACAGTACAGAGACAAACCCTGGTAATAACAGTATAGAGACAAGCCCTGGTAACAACAGTATGGAGACAAACCCTGGTAACAAAAGTATCGAGATAATCCCTGTAGTTGACAGACAAACCATGGAGAAAGTAGACTCCCCCTGGTAAACAGGAAGTTGAGAAACAAACCCTGGTAACAACAGTACAGAGACAAACCCTGGTAATAACAGTATAGAGACAATTCCTGAAGTTGACAGACAAACCCTGGAGAAAGTAGACTACCCCTAGTAAACAGGAAGTAAACAGATAACTCTTGATAAGCAGAAAGTAGACAAGACAACCCCTGATAAACTGGAAATTTACAGACAATCCCAGGTAGAGAGGAAATTAACAGACAATCCCAGGTAAACAGAAAGTTAATATACAACCCTTGCAAACAGGAAGTTGACAACCAACCCCTCTAACAGGAAGTTGACAAAAAGCCACTGATAAACAGGAAATGGAAAGACAATCCCTTATAAACAGGACATTCATAAGCAACCCTTGGTAAACAGGAAGTTGAAAGAAACCCCCTGGTAAGGACAAAGTTCACAGACAATCCCTAGTAAACAGGAAGTTGACAGACAAAAAACATGAAAAATGTCTGTTGGAAAAGAATGTTCCTGCTCTCATGCAAATCATTGTCATTTTTGACTAATTTCTATAAATGGTAATGGTGACCTTGACTCCTGAAATACAAAGTCATTCGAAATATTCTAATATTTGCACCTTTGTATACAGTTTTTTTTATCTGGTTTGCTTTGGTCAAGGGAATCAGATTTTGTGAAAAGCACACACTAAAGGTTCTTAGCTTGCCATATCAGCTTGAAGTATGATCAAAGCTAACAATGTAAACCAACTCACATCAACAAAATATAACGAATAATGTCTGAAATGCAAAGCCAGCTGGTGGAAGGTATAGAGATATTAAGAGAAGTGATTTAAAGGATACTAAAGGTGCTGAACAACTAGCCAAGAAACATGGTGACAGGAGGAAGCCATTCAACGTTTACTCCAATGCAAAAATTGACTACTTTTACCACTAAATACCCCACTGTTCTGCATCGGGGATCAGAAAAGGCTAGGATTAGAATGCTTTTCTTGTGATTGGAGCGCAATTAAATACACCAATTATTTTTAAAACCTATAACGTCATTCATGATCTCACCTTCTATAACTCTCCATCCTGCCATTTTATAGTCTTCTCCACCCATAAAGTAAAATAATTATGGCATGCAGAATTTCAAGCCCTTTTCGACATTTAAAACCCAAGGTGTTCTTATGAACAAAAGTGCCCCATAAGGTTTACATAGAAGTCAGTTAAGACCTCTTCACATGTGTCAACAACATAATCGAGGAATTACGATTGCCAGGGGTCTGCTTAGTGTCATATTCAAAGAAGTTGTTCCCGGGTTGAGGAGTACTGTTTATATTTTCTGATGGCTAAAACTCTCTTATTTCTTTAGGCAAAACCACTGAAAGAAATAAGGTTCAGAGTATGACACCTTTCAAGGATAAGAAGATGCAGTCTGGTTTTGTTCTGGTGTTAGCCGACAGTTTCTTCATCAATTATGATGAGCAGCGCGCAAGATAAAGACTGTTTTTTTTATCATTCTCATCTTGTAGCTTCAACTGCTCGTGGCAGGCAGGATGAAACAATATTTAAATCAAATCAGTATTTCAATAAGAGGCCCATGGGCCTTCCCAGTCATCTGAGAAAAGAAAGCAATATGGAAACGTATCAGGAGTATTAAAAGTGGTACAGTACGAAGTCTATGTTTCAACCTGGGCTTGGTGGTAGCCCCGAGGTTGTTGATTGTAAGAATCCCTGTACCACTGCCAAACTCTGTAACTATGCTCTGGAAACCGATCATGCGGGCACAACTATAGCTTTGATAAATCATTTGTGTAATTAAGTCTATATCTGTTTATCTGATGTCACAGCTAACACAAGTTTTATTGTTTATCTGATGTCACAGCTTACACAAGTTTATTGTTTATCTGATGTCACTGCTATCACAAGTTTATAGTTTATCTGATGCAATAGCTAACACAAGATTACTGTTTATCTGATGTCACAGCTAACACAAGTTTATTGTTTATCTGATGTAACAGCTAACACAAGTTTATTGTTTATTTGATGTCACAGCTAACACAAGATTACTGTTTATCTGATGTAACAGCTAACACAAGTTTATTGTTTATCTCAGCTATCACAAGTTTAATGTTTATCTGATGTCGCAGCTAACACCATTGTATTGTTTATCTGGTGTAACAGCTAACACACGTTTATTGTTTATCTGATGTCGCAGCTAACACCATTGTATTGTTTATCTGGTGTAACAGCTAACACACGTTTATTGTTTATCTAATGTCACAGTTTATTGTTTATCGGATGTCACAGCTAACAAAAGTTTATTGTTTATTTGATGTCACAGCTAAACCAAGATTATTGTTTATCTAGCTAACACAAGTTTATCGTTTATCTGATGTCACAGCTAACACCATTGTATTGTTTATCTGATGTCGTAGTTAACACAAGTTTATTGTTTATCTGATGTCACTGCTATCACAAGTTTATTGTTTATCTGATGTAACAGCTATCACAAGTTTACTGTTTATCTGATGTTACAGCTATCACAAGATTACTGTTTATCTGATGTCACTGCTATCACAAGTTTATTGTTTATCTGATGTCACAGCTATCACAAGTTTATTGTTTATCTGATGTAACAGCTAACACAAGTTTATTGTTTATCAGATGTTACAGCTATCACAAGATTACTGTTTATCTAATGTAACAGCTAACACAAGTTTATTGTTTATCTGATGTCGCAGCTAACACCATTGTATTGTTTATCTGATGCCACAG